CAGGTGATTGCCACATGCTGCCAAAATTGAGCTCTATCACCTTGGATACTATAGTTATTTTAAGTTTAACCAGATTACATTAAATCTCTCCTGCTGGATGGAAGCATATTTGCCAAGTGCCTTTAATTTTATACCAGAACACTGCAAAAAGAAGGAAAACCAAATGTCTCGTTAACGTTGCCTGATGGTCTTTCAGTTTGGGGTGTGACTGTGTAACCCAGGTCTAGGGACTGAAATAGAAGGGAGACCCCTGCTGGGACTTTTCCTTCTGGGAGAAGAGGACAGAGCCTTTCTGGGTAGAAAAAGTGGATTTCATCACTTTCCCCATGCTGATACAATCTGAGGAATGAATCTAAGGACTATGCTTTGTGACTGGAAAGCAAGGAGTATGAGAATGAAAAGTAAACATGTTGAGGATGATAGTGGAACACAGAGATCGAAAGAGCTTGGATCTTTGATGATGTGCGGCATCACTGAATTAAAACAAACAGCTTTAATTTTTGTTGCGTGAAGAAAAGTATCACTTAAATCACTGTTACCTGAGCTTTTCATTTCTTACAGCAAAAAGTATGTCTAATGGATGTATCTGGGTTTTCTCTTAAGCTATGAATCACTCATTGATTAAGAATGTTACAGATAGTATCACTTCTAAGTCACACAGGAATTTCCAAAGCTAACTGTTTCATTGCACTTTACATATACAGAAATTGAGCCTTGTACAAGTTAGCTATTTGTCCACAGCCCTGTGGAAGTTGGATTTTAAGCCATGTTTATTGGATTGCAATGCTCATGCTCTAAACTTCCTTGTTATGGTATTGTGATTAAGAGCTTGGCTGTGTGCTAGTTACTCTAATTAAACTGTACAATGTATCATGGAGGAAGGGCATCTCATGCTTCCAGGAGTACCCATAGCTTTCCACATTTTGGTCACTAGAAATCTGAAGAATTAATGGGCTTCTGGGTAAGAAATAAAATCACAGGATCAAACTTTTTTGTGCTGTTCTGTAAAGACACAATACTTTCAACTCCAAACAATTAAAATATGCAAGTCAACTCACTTTTTGACAGTACCAAAGACTTGTCAAAAAATATTACCGTCATAATCTAGGTCTTTGGGGGTATCATTACGTTTTCTTTGCTCCCCAGTGAAAAATCATATGCATAGTAAGGTTTTGATGCATATGTTTAAGGGGGCTACATGCATGTGTCTGGGAGGATATGAGGTGATACTGTCTGTGGAGCTGAAAATCCAAATGGATCTCTCCCCAGGATTGGGTGTGGTAGGGTGTTTTTTTTTTTTTTTTTTTTTTTTTGCCTGTGTTTACTTGTCAGGTGATTGAATGTCTTCAATACTCACTGCCATACTATTTGCTCAAAAGATACTGTTAATGGCCCACCAGCAACTCTTATTCTCTATTCTCTTCTCTTGAGCATTTCCAGGAGAATTAATGGATTACAGAAAGCAGTCTAGAGGCAGATGTCTTGAGTTAGAGCCAAGCTCACCAGATCAAATCTGCTCTATGTTTCTCCTTTCTCCAAAAGTTGAGGAACTTCAAACTGTTCATTGACCTGTGGGAGCTGGTATGTAACATACTTGTACCAGTTACAGCAGGCAAGGATTTATGAGCTATCTACAGGCTGAATAGTGAGATAGCTGTCCTCAGGAAGCATACATTACCCACTCAAGTGTTGTGCCTCCCGAAACTGGAAACAGCCTAAGTGGAAATGTGATAAAATCCAAAGCTTAACACTCTTGGGATCAAGTCCCAATTCCTCAATTTCGCAGAGTAGATTGAATGGTTTCCAACAGATTCATCCATGGCCTATCCCCCCTGCTCACTTCAATGGCACGTAGCAGGTAAAGCCACCGCCTGCAGTGTTGGCATCCCATATGGGTGCTGGTTTGAGTCCTGGCTGCTCCACTTCCGATCTAGCTCTCTGCTATGGCCTGGGAAAGCAGTAGAAATGGCCCAAGAACTTGGGCCCCTGCACCCAAGTGGGAGACCTGGAAGAAGTTCCTGGTTTCGACTGGCCCAGTTCCAGCTGTTAAGGCCATTTGGGGAGTGAACCAGCAGATGGAAGATCTCTGCCTCTGCCTCTTTGTAACTCTGACTTTTAAATAATGAATAAACAAATCTTTTTTTAAAGGGGGGGGGTCTTTGCAGATGTGATTATAGACTCTAGATGAAAACATTCTTGATTCATAGCAGACCTTAAGTCCAATGACAAGTGTCCTTACAACATACAGAGGACACAGCAGCAACAGAGCATTCAATGAAAGACACACAAGTTGGAGTCATGCAACAACTTTCCTGGGAGTGCCTTGCACCGCTGCAAACTGGGAAAAGCTAAGAATTTTGTCCGGGAGTCTTCGAAAGTCCTGCAGCCCTACTTGAATTCAGATTTCCAGTTAGAGAATGGTATCATCATTTGAAACGACCAACTTTGTGGTGTCCGTTTTTTTCGCCTACAAATAGGGCTAATATCCTACTCTTATTTCTTAAAGTAGAAAGTGGGATAATTGCAGTATTCAAAAATAGGCAGACATTAAAAATGGCAAACATTTGTTGAGGGCTTTTCATGATCCTTCATCGTGCTGAGAGCTTTGCATATGATTTAACTATTGCTATTCTATTAATCCGAAAACCAAGGCTCAGAGAAATCCAGTAATTTACCTGGAGCCACACAGCTAGCAGATGAGAACCACCAGGATACAATTCAAACCCACTCCCGAGACAGCTCTTTTATTCTCCAAGCTGGACTGCTCAGAAACGATGCAAATAAAACACACATACACATACACAAAGTTAGCTTTGCTATTTCATAACCATCTTATTCATTAACCATCTTTTAGTAATCACTGCCAACCAGGTTCCCTCCAACAACCTGTCAACCCTCCGCAGAGACCTCCGTCTCTCCCGGGTCACGGAAGCGACAGGGTTAATTGCGTCACTTTCAGGAGCCGCTAACGCATTCTCGGCCCGACGGGTCCTTGCAAAGGCCAAAACAAGTGTGCGACGCACACTTCGCGCCTGTAGATGAGGTAAGACAAGCGGACCAATAGAAATTCGGAGATGCCGTAGTTCATGCTAAGCTCCACCTCTTAACCCCAGCAACGCGGCGGAAGAAGACAAACGGCGGTCCGGGGGCGGAGCTAGGTGCGAGGCGGAAGCGGAAGCAGCGGTCTGCTGCTGGTGCCCGACTTTGCCCCACGTGTGGAGTGAGTGGGGCGCACTTTGGGGTTGTCTTTGGGTGGGGTTCGCCTTCCGCCTGGTGAAGTTGGAAGGGCCTGGAAGGGTTGTAGTAGTGGGGGAGAAGTGTTCTGCTCTGTCTCCGTCTGTGGCGAGAAGGCTGGGAGTTTGAGGATGGACAGGAGCTTAGCGAGGAGGGCGGGGCCGCGACCCCTCTTCCTACCACGTTGCCCTGAGTGTGGGGTTGAGACTGAACTAGCTTCGTCGTAAAATCCCGGCCTGTGCTGGCTCCGGTCCGCCTGTCTAACCCGTGTTTGAGGAACCTCCGTTCGGCTTGCGATCGGGGCCAGATGATGTTACAGCCTGAATGTACCGTTGCAGGTTGTACGCTCTGGGAAAGAATCGAGCTGGGTCCGGAGATGGAAGATAGGATATCTGAAGAGGGGTCAAAGGGGTCTATAAGCCGAGATCTAAAACATGCAGGGAGAGAACCCTCGATCCCGAAACCCAGGGAGGACTGTGTTAAGCGCAGGTAGAAACGGGGAAGCCCCTGAGATGGGAACTGACAGCCCAGCGGTGCAAGACAGGGTCGCTGAGGTTTTGCAGGACCTCGAAGGCCATTCTGTACAAGGGGGAAACATTCCCCGTTCTGTTTCCCGTGTGTAGGAAACACCGAAGGCTTACAAACAAGGGAGAAACATGGCCCTAGGTACTCTTTAGGAAGTGTTATTTAACTTGAAAGTTTGTTGAAGAACTTACTGATGGTGTGTATTAAGGTGGTGGGAGTGGAGATAGAAGTTGGATGATTAGAGTTATTTCAAGAGAACATACTGATGGATTGATACGATAAACACGAGTCTGAGAAAAATGCCAGAGATAATTTCTCCGGTTTCTGGCTTGCAGTAGGGTAGACGATGGGCAGTTGGCTGCCGAGGAAGAATGAAGTAGGAGAAGTAGACTGAATAGTGTTTGAGAATGGCTTACCGTGGAGATACAGGGAATGAGGGTTCAGACATAGTAAGTTACCTGCTAGTCACGTAATCGGAGGTGGCAGGTGAACAGATTAGTAGGTCTGGAACCCAAAGAGAAGGATGTAATCGAGAAGCAATTTGGAAGTCCTCAGCATAGAAAGTGAGGAAGAAATTGGATGCAGTTACCTAGGGAGAAGTGTGGAGAGAGAAGGAAGATAGGACCAAGATGAAGATTCGCAGCATCTGTAGATTGGTATTGAATGTTCGCTGCGTTCAGAGGGCGTTGCCAAGCCTGCTTAGAGGAGTAAGGAGGGCTCAGGCTGTTCCTCTTCCTCTGGGAAGGCTCCTGTATTTCCCGTTTGGCAAACTGAGTGGTCAGCTAGTGAGGACCTTGACACTTTGTATATACGGCTGTCTTTCAGTATCTCTGCCTTCTCTCCGCCCCCCCCCCCAGCATTAAATGATCTGGTATTAGCATATAATCTACATACGTCATCTTGTATGCTGGTGCTTTAAATCATCTCTAGGATTCTTTTAATATCTTTTACAATGTAAATGCTATTTAAATATTTGTTATACTATATTGTTTAGGGAATGGTGACAAGAAAAAAGTCTCTATGTTTAATACAGACCCTGTTTTTTCCCTACATATATTTGGCACATATTTGGTTGTTTCCATGGATGTAGAACCCGCAGTTAGAGAGGGCCTACTGCCCTGCTTCCGTTATAACACTTGGTTACAGTGTGTTTTAGTTTTCTGTTTGCCTATTAGACTACACCTTGGCTTTCTTTTTTTTTTTTTTTATTTTTTTTTGAACCCTGTGGCGTTCCATAATTTGTAGATATTCAACAAATTTCTGTGTGAGCAGATGGAATTGTCCATGAATAACTTTAATGTAAATTTCCAAGTGTAGATGTTAAGAGGGCCATAGAAAATCATTTGGGAAAAGGGAAAATATATGGAGGAGAAATTATATGAAAATGTCATTGAACCTGGAGTTGAGGGATGAGCAGGAATTCTCATTGAACCTGGAGTTGAGGGAAGACCAGCTTTCAAGCTTGGAGTGTGAAAGTGTGGCTCCTGTGTGGGGTTTGTGAGTGGGATGAATGAGTACCAGATTTTAAGTGACCCTGGATGCCAGTCTGAGTCTGAGTCTGAACTTTCTCCTGTAAGCAGTGGGAAAGTTGTGAAGCAGTAGAAGTGTGGCAATGGAATGAAATAGGTGTGTTAGTGGCAGATTAATCAGGTAGCATATGGATTGCATGGTGGAGCTAAACGTAAAACAGCCGGAGCAAGGTGTAACAAGAGGGGGCTATTCTGAGAGACACTGGAATGTAATGATTGGTTATTAAGGTACTGGGTCCCCAAGCAAAATGCATTTTGCTCTGTGAAAGAATCAAGACCCAAAAGGTTTCCTGTTGTATGATTCCATTTATAGTACATCCTGGAAAGGGAAAAATAAGAATGAAAAACAGACCAGTAGCAGCTTAGGGACAGGGAAGGGGTTGACGACAAGAAGCTGCCCAGGAGTCTCGATGGTGATAACAACTGCTCTGAGATTGTTGACTGTGTCAAAACCGCTGGAACAGTGCACCAAAGAGAGTGAGTGGGCTCTAGTAGATTTGACAGATCAGCCAGCGATTCTGGGTATGGAATGCAGATTGTGACAATAAATCGAAATGTTTTATAAAAATATAATCTCATTGAACAGGGCTGGTTTTGTAGCATAATAGATTAAGCCACTTCTTGTGATGCCAACATCCCATCTGGGCACTGGTTCGAATCCCAGCTGTGCCACTTGCTATCCAACTCCCTGCTAATGTGCCTGGGAAAGCAGTGGAGGGTGGCCAAACTACTTGGGTCCCTGCACCTTTGTGGGAGACCCAAAAGATGCTTCTGGCTCCTGGCTTTGGCCGGGCCCATCTCTGGCCGCTTTCGCCATTTAGGGAGTGAACCAGTGGATGTAAGACCTCTCTCTCTCTCTCTCTCTCTCTCTCTCTCTCTTTCTCTCTCTCTGTAACTTTCAAATAAATAAAATAAATCTTAAAAAAGAAAAATACAAGATGAGCTTGAAGCAAGTGCCAGGAAATAAGGACATACTTCTGATTTTTTTTTTTAAGATTTATTTATTTATTTGAAAGTCAGAGTTACATACAGAGAGAAAGAGATCCTCCATCTGATGGTTCACTCCCCAGATGGCTGCAATGGCCGGAGCTGCGCAGATCCGAAGCCAGGGCCAGGAGCTTCTTCCAGGTCTCCCACGTGGGTGCAGGGGCCCAAGGACTTGGGCCATCTTCTACTGCTTTCCCAGGCCATAGCAGAGAGCTAGATTGGAAGAGGAGCAGCTGGGACTAGAACCAGCGCCCATATGGGATGCTGGTGCTTCAGGCCAGGGCTTTAATCCGCTGTGCCACAGCACCGGCCCCACCCATAAGGACACACTTTTAAAAAGACCATGTCAAAAGGACACAGCAACCTAGAAAACTTGCTGCTGGACTATTTGTGCAACCAAATAGCAATGGTATTTGGTTAGGAATCAGTAAATAAAATAAGTACTTGAGATAATACTGCTATGAATGAAGAATAAGTAGAAAAGGAGACAAACCTCTACAGGTGGATTTGAAATTGTAAAGGGAGACATAATGGGAGAAACAAAGTCCTCACTCAAATGCTGCAGTAATTGCTGCAGGCAAGATCCACCTAGGAAGGCTTAGATTAGAGGATGTTTAAAGGATGTTTGCATAATCTCAAAATGTTTATTTGTTGCTGTGGCAGTTTAAGAGCAAACTTGGAAGAGTTCTGGGAGGGGCAGGTGTTTGACCTAGCACTTTGGATGCCCTTTGGGATGCCCAAATCCAGGTCTGACTCTGTTGGATTCTAGCTCCCTGCTGATAGGCATATTGAAGGCAGCAGGTGATGGTTCAAGTGCTTGTGAGTCTGGATTGAGTTTCTGGCTCCTGACTTTGGCCTGGCCTAGTCCCAGCTGTTGCCGGCAGTTGGGGAGTGAACCTGCCGATAGGAGATATCTGTCTTTTCTGCATTTCAAGTAAGTAAAATAAATGTCTTTTTTAAATTCATGGAAAATGCATATTAAGGAAAAACTAGGCCTGGATTTCAGTTTTTCCCACCAAAATAAACTTATCTTTTGATTTCATTTTACATGAACTTTATGAAGTACTCTTGTATGTCTATGCATTTTCTGTGTCTCCTGTCTCCAGGAAGTGGAGCTTATTCTATTTCCCTCTCTGGGTTAGGCTGCATTTCGTAGCTCACTTCTGGTAGAGGGTGGCAAGAGGACTCTGGTATCCTTCCAAAAAAAACCCCAGAACCTCACTCTAGTTGTGAGAAAACACCAGATAAGCCCCAGTGAGGCATATTCTGCAAAAGACAAAGGCAACATGATGCCAGAATTCAGTGTATCCTGGTAAAGATGACATTAGTGGACAAGGTGGCAGGCGAGGTGGGACAAATAAGCCCCTGTGGCTTAGTTAACTGTACTGTGCTAATACAAATTTCTTGGGTTTAATAAATCATCATGGTAAGATGTTAACAATTAGGAGAAACTGGGCAAGTGTGTGTGGGAACACAGTCTAACACAAATTAAAACAAATTTACACAGAAAACATGTAAAGGAATGGATTCTTAGAGAGCTGTGCACAGCAGAGCTAAGAGATGCAGGCGTGGTTGTGATAGTGTTAGCCAACGAGGGAAAGTGACCCTGTGGTCCTACATGCCCCAGGAAGCTGAATAGCTGAGGGGCCATCTAGTTTTCAGAATCATGTTCATGAATAGTAGACTAAGACAGCATTTTCCAGAGTGTTCCCTAGAAACACTCTAGGGTGGTCCAGGAATAAGGTTTCAACTCAAGTTAGAAACCCCTGCATACTTTTAGCCTTTGCCTAGCAATTGATAGTTTATAAAAGCAATTTAAGGAACTGGGAAGCCTTTCCTTAGAAGCTGGTTATTGTCATTTAACGCTCCTAGAACCCCTCTTTTCTCTTTATACTTGTTACTATCCTGAGGAATTGTAACCTAGAAATATTGGATGTTGTCTAGGGATCCCTAACACATACTCTTTAGGATCTGCTTTAGGAATGACTTAAGGTGCAACTTTGGAAAGTGAAGAAATGAGCCAATCATTTTTGTTTTTGATCGTTCTGTTTCTTTCTGGAGCCTTGGGTACATATGGGTTATCTGTTTATCCTGTGTAACATGGCATACCTATACCCTAGAAGTGACTTGCTAGGCAGATCCATTTAAATGAAGTATTAAATGGTCTGATATAATCTTGTTTTGGAGTTCACTGCAAGCTTCTGGTCTGTTGCTAAGACAATCACAAATTGAACATTGGTAATCTTTGTTGTACTTCTGTCGGGTTACATAGGGATCTTTCAGATAGTCCCTTATTTTCTTTCATTTAATTCAAATATGTGGTAAGTGCAACCTACTAGTTGTTCCTGGTTTCATAGGATAGAGACCAAGAAATCAAATGGTTATATAGTCAGTTACTCATCACCAAGTCTTTCTGGGTTACATGGTGCAAACACTGATGTTTGTACTACTGTAACAACCTGTTTTTAGCCACTACTGTAACTGAATTGTTTGCTCAAGGTAAGTCGCACACTGGTTGGGGTATGTGCATCTTCATCATTTTCACTCTGATGTCTTGTTCCTTTCCAGGTTTAAATCTTAGAGACTGATTTCATAATTGCAGAAATTGTGTGGGTGGACATCCATGCTCTGCTTGAGCGATTTGAACTGTATCTATGAACCCAAGGACAGAATTTGGCAACGACTATTTAATGACATGTACTTGTGAGGAGCCATTTAATGATTGCTTTATTTTTGGTTTTCCAGAGTTGGCTATAATGGAAGTAAAGGGGAAAAAAAAATTCACAAGAAAGAATAGAAAGCCATCGCAAGAAAAAAGCAGATTTCCTAAAAACAGCGGTAAGACAGCCATGCACAAACATGCTTCCCATGTGTGGTTGTGGTTTTTGTTTCATTTTGTTTTGTTTTTTTTCCATTATCATTTGTGGGGTGGGGCACTGGAACAGAGCCCAACTTACATTCATGGACTAGGATTAGGATTTAAACAGTAGGAGGAGGCAGATACATATATAAGTTGTTAGCCTCTTCCTTATGAAGATTAGACCTTTAGGAAATTCTTAATTAATGAATGCTTTATTCCTGGAAGACCCCTGATTTCAGCTGTTGATGCTGTAGCCTCATTTGAGTCACCAATCTACCATATATTTTATTTTAGTGTTTGAGAAATTGGGGCTGTTTTATAGCTATTGCTGATAAACCAAATTTTTTTTTTTTAAGATTTATTTATTTACTTGAGAAGTAGAGTTACACACAGACAGGGAGAGACAGAGATATAGAGGTCTTTGATCCACTGCTTCACTCCCCAAATGGCCACAATGGCCGGAGGCTGTATCTCCCACGTGGGTGCAGCTTGGGCCATCTCTCACTGCTCTCTGAGGCCATAGCAGAGCTGGATAGGAAGAGGCACAGCCAGGATACGGACCACTGCTATAGGTGGATGCTTAGCCCACTACGGCACAGCTCCAGCCCCAAACCAAATTCTTTAAGCTTTAGAATTTCTAATGGTGATGTCTTTTCTATTCCATTGGGTGTCAGTATTTTAAAATAGAGAAGTCAGAGATGTATAAATGACTGTATATTACCAAACCAACCTTTATTTTTTTCCCTTGTAGTACTCTTATGGCATAGCTTTGGTATTTGCTTCTTATTTATTAAGTACTTAATTTGCAAGCTTTGTTGTCAGAGGAGGTTTTTATCAGATATTTTTTTTTTTTTAAAGATTTATTTATTTATTTGAAAAGCAGGGTTACAGAGAGAGGTAGAGAGAGAGAGGTCTTCATCTGCTGGTTCACTCCCCAGATGACCTCAATGGGCGAGCTGTGCCAATCCAAAGCCAAAGCCAGGAGCTTCCTCTGGGTCTGTCATGCAGGTGCAGGGGTCCAAGGACTTGGTTCATTTTCCACTGCTTTCCCAGGCCACAGCAGAGAGCTGGATTGGAAGTGGAGCAGCTGGGACTCGAACCAGTGCCCATATGGGATGCTGGCACTGCAGGTGGCAGCTTTACCTGCTACACCACAGCACTGGCACCCAGATAGTTTCTTATCAAATAAATTAGAAGGCTTTAAGATTTTTTTTCTCAACTAAAATTGGAAAATTAACATTTTAAATATGTTGTTATATTTTCTAAATTTCAAGAGTATCCATTTTATTCTTTGACTCAGATTCCTGAGCCAATGAAAATTATGTTTTTTTCTTTAAAAATTTATTTATTTTATTTGAAAGGCAGAATTACAGTGAGTGGAAGAGATGGGAGAGAAAGAGAGGTTTTCCATCTGTTGGTTCACTTCCCAAATGGCTACAACAGCCAGAGCTGGGCCAGACTGAAGCCAGGAGCTTCTTCTAGGTCTCCCACCTGTGTGTGGGGGCCCAGGGACTTGGAGCATATTCCACTGCTTTCCCAAGTGCATTAGCAGGGAGCTGGATCAGAAGTGGAGCAACCAGGAATAGAACTGGTGCTCACGTAGGATGTCGGCGCAGGTAGTGGCATTATGTACTGTGCTGCAGCGCCAGCCCCAAGAATCGTATTTAAAGGGTAATGATATGGGAATGGGTGTTGGCCCAGCGATTTAAGTCACTGATTTCTATACTAGCATGCCATGTCGAGGGGCTGTCCCAAGTCCCAAATACTCCGCTTCTGATCAAGTTTCCTGTTAATCTTCATCCTGGGAGGCAGCAGATGATGGCTCAAATACTTGGGTCCTTCCCACACATGTGGGAGACTGGAGTAAGTACCCAGCTCCTGGTTTTGGCCTGCCCAGCCCTCACTGTTGGTGGGCATTCGGAGACTGAATGAATGGATGAAGATCCCTGTTGTCTTTCATATAAAGTGAAAGTAAGTAAATGAAAAAATTAGTAAATTCATTAATGATATAAAGCAGAATAGACAGGTGTATAAATAACCTATCTCATCTCTGCTATCTGCTTAAAACTAGAGAAGTTTTCCAAAGCAACAGCAATGTATAGATGGCAGAATTATAGATAGTTTTTATTGTACATTCCTTTACTTTTAGGTTTTACGTCTTGAATATGTTACAGTTTTATTGTCAGATAAATTTTGATTGTTTCAATACTCTATTCAAAAAGATAAGTATTGCATAGGGCAAGAGATAAAGAGCAAATATAGTCCAGTGTATAGAAGAAATCAAATCAAGGCCCAGAATCATTGAACTAATAATTATTTGTCATCATCTCTAGATTCTGGTTCTTCAAAGACATTCCCAAGGAAAGTTACTAAGGAAGGTGGACCTAAAATCACATCAAAGAACTTTGAGAAGAGTGCCACAAAACCTGGGAAAAAGGGTGTGAAGCAGTTCAAGACTAGGCAACAAGGGGACAAAGGATCGAAGAACAAATTTCAGGCGGCAAATAAATTCAGCAAGAAGAGAAAATTCCAGTCGGACAATAAAAGTGATGGTGAGCCCCGATCCCTTCAGCACAGGCTGTGCGGAGGCCTCGCCCTCCCCAGTTGCTGTCCGAATCCTCGTGCATGGGGGCTCTGCAGGCGCTTTGGAGACCTCAGGCTTGCTCCTTGTCATGCAGTATTTTTAGGTGGGAAGAAGGGCAAATGGGCTAAAAGAAACAAAAAAAGTATCTTTCCTGGCCACAGCTTCCCTCTGGTGCTAAGAGTTACTTATTTTTTGGACCCTTTCTGAGATGACTTGGCCATCAAGTTAAGCTGAATTATAATGGCTTCTTTTAGTGGCATCTCAGTGTGACATTGCTTACTTCAGGCTAAAATTCATTCGTTCATTCACTCATTCACTCAAATATTTGCATTTCCTCTGCATTATGATGCCAAATGGTGGGAAAGAAATGAACAACCAGTAAGGATACAGACCCCAAATAGTCCGTACAGAAGCCACCCCTAAAGAACCAGTGTATCGCCGTCGCCGCGGCTCACTAGGCTAATCCTCCGCATTGCGGTGCCGGCACACCGGGTTCTAGTCCCGGTCGGGGCGCCGGATTCTGTCCCGTTGCCCCTCTTCCAGGCCAGCTCTCTGCTGTGGCCAGGGAGTGCAGTGGAGGATGGCCCAAGTACTTGGGTCCTGCACCCCATGGGGAGACCAGGATAAGTACCTGGCTCCTGCCATCGGATCAGCGCGGTGTGCCGGCCACGGCGGCCATTGGAGGGTGAACCAATGGCAAAGGAAGACCAATCTCTCTGTCTCTCTCTCTCACTATCCACTCTGCCTGTCAAAAAAAAAAAAAAAAACCAGTGTATCCTAGGTCAGTGTCAGCCTTGGCTAGGGATGCCTTGGTGAGCAAGAGACCTGGAGACCTTGTCCAAGCAGGCTTTGCACATGACTGATTGGATTTGAATTGGGTCAGATAATTTGCTCACTCATTGGACGTATTGGCAGGGCTCCTGTTTGTCATTGAAACAAAATTGCTAATCTCTTCATCACAATTACTGTCTAACTGCTGCCAGCTAAGACTGTTGCCTTGAGGCCTTCTCAGTCCTGGTCCTTGCTCTTTACTCTGCCAAAGGGTTGTTCACTGGAGGGACCACAGCCTTAGGTCAGGGAGATGGGAAGCGGATCCTTTCACGCTTCAACCTTACCTTTTCGGTTGCTTTGCTTTTCTTCTTCATCTCTGCCTCCCCACATAGTTCTCCAACTTCTTTTTCCTATCTCCTCTTTGCTAGCCTAAATCTTCCTTTCCTTACTGGAGTTCTTGACACTTGTATTTTACTCATTCATTCTTATGTTAAGATGGTGCATGCTGCAACCCTTGTTCCTTTTGCAGTGGGAGGTATGTTTCTGGTGTTTCAGAACAGAACTCTTGATTTTGTTTTGTTTTCTCCTCTTTTTATACCAACAATTGAGAGGTATTGGATACTAGGTGTATCCCAGAAAATATAAATTTGCTATAACCCAGAATGGCCTATGTCATATGTGCTCAGCTATCTGTAGAATTAAATAAACTCTAGTTGGTTATGCTCTGCTGTCTAGTGCAGGGCACCCCACCGTGAATAATGGTAAGAGATTAAGTGGTTCATCTGTGTGACTCAGTGGGCTTTTTGATTCAATTGGTAAATTATTCATTTTGAGGAAAAAAGCAAAATAATAATAGGTAACTGACTTTGATAGCCTCACTCTGTAGGGAACATAGAAATTTTGATTGTGCATTATCATGAACAACAGAGGTTTGTCTCTGGGCTTGTATCCTGGCTGTTTAAATTTAGACTGATTTTTGTTTCCATTGAAAGCTAATTATCATCTAAGTTCAGTGATCTTGATGTTCTAACATAGAGTCCTGTATTAAAGGTGAAAATGATGTTTAATGTTTTAGTTGCTTTTACATTCCTTTTAGTTTCATTTTTTTGTTTAGTAGCATCCTGCTAACAGTCAATAAAGAGCTATTAAGTGAATGATTCATTTTAGCCACATGTAGAATATTAAAAAATGCTCAGGAAATGCAGGAAGTTACAAATTTGTAGGGAGTGTTATTTTCCCTCTTCTGGCTTCTACAATGAGTTTTGATCCTGATTACTGGTTGCCCTTTGTACCTCATCTGTGTTTGTTTATGGTACTCAGAATGTTAATTGTAATTGAAAATACTTTGTATGATAACTAGAATCAGCAGCCAAGAAACCCAAATGGGATGACTTCAAAAAGAAGAAGAAAGAACTGAAGCAGAGCAGGCAACTGAGTGATAAAACCAACTATGACATTGTTGTTCGGGCAAAGCAGATTTGGGAGATCCTGAGAAGGTAACTTTTGCCTGATGCCATCTTGATTAGCGCCTTTGAGATGATGGAAAGGTACCAGTGTGCTCTGAGAATAGAGAGGCCCTGAAATGAGGGACAGAGCCCTTGAGTTATTTAGGGAGCACTCATGACCCCCAGGAGAAGCATCAGGATTTGGATGTGTGCCTTTGCAGAAACGGGTGGTGTCAGTGAGACGGTGTCAGCTCTGTTTATGGAAATGTCCAAGAGTTAACATGGATTTGACATGCTCCCTGGGACGTTCGGAGAAAATGAAGGACAATTTCCTATCAGCTAGGTTTTGAGACATTTAGGTATTTAATATCTAAGAATTGGTTTATTATTTTCTTTACTTTTAGCTGTTAAGATTTAGATTGATGCATAAAATTACACCTTTTGAGATGAGTTTCTGCTTCAGAGAAAATTACTTTTGTCTGGCTGCTCTGGACTAGTAATTTTGATGTCAGAGGTTTTTGCAGCTTTCTAAAAGAAATCATGTTGAACTGGTGAACATATACTGGCTGGTATGATTTTTAGTTGTATGTGTTTAAAATCCTGTGCTTAAAGTGTATATTTTTGCTCTTTTCGTTTGTAGAAAAGACTGTGACAAAGACAAAAGAGTAAAGTTAATGAGTGACTTGCAGAAGTTGATTCAAGGGAAAATTAAAACTGTAAGTAAGCCAAACTCAGTGTTGCGGTCTTATACAATTAAAATTGCCTCTTGGGGCTGGCGCTGTGGCGCAGCAGGTTAATGCCCTAACCTGAAGCGCTGGCATCCCATATGGGCGCTGGTTCTAGTCCCGCCTGCTCCTCTTCCAATCCAGCTCTCTGCTATGGCCTGGAAAAGCGGTAGAGGATGGACCAAGTCCTTGGGCCCCTGCACCCACGTGGGAGACCCGGAGGAAGCTCCTGGCTCCTGGCTCCTGGCTCCTGGCCTCAGATTGGCACAACTCTGGCCATTGCAGCCATCTGGGGAGTGAACCAGCGGACGAAAGACCACTCTCTCTGCTCTCCTCTCTCTTTGTAACACTGACTTTCGAATAAATAAATAAATCTTCAAAAAAAAAATTGCCTCTGTAAGGAAAAGGTACTTGGCTATTAACAGGTAAACTTGTTATTTTTTCCAGCATAATTGCCCCAAAATTTCCAGTATCTCTTATAGCATGGACTAAAAACTCCGTACAGGTTAAATATCCCTTATAACAAATGCTAGAATATGTTAGTATTAAAATATTGTAAAGACAATGTGAATAACAAGCACTTTTGAAGCAGACTTGTACTGTAATGTAATGTAGTAAAAATAATTTTTCATGACTGATGATTTCTGAATGTTGCTACAGAGAAGCCATCAGAGGTCCTTCAGTAAGGATCTGAGTCATCCCATATTTGTGAGAGGGATGGGCTATAGAATCAGATTTGAAATACAACTTTTCTGAGAATATGATAGGATATATGTACAGAGATTATATGGAGTGGTTGACTTACAGTGTAGTTGGCTAGTGTGTATTGTGTAGTTACATTTGTGGAGTAAGACTTAGCTTGATCTGCCTTATGCATGCCATACATTTGCCAATGCCAAACATTCTTAAATCCCATATATAGAAATTGTAGAATAATAGGCTTATTTTTTTTTTTTTTAAGATTTATTTTATTGGCCGGCGCCGCGGCTCACTAGGCTAATCCTCCGCCTAGCGGCGCCAACACACCGGGTTCTAGTCCCGGTCGGGGCGCCGGATTCTGTCCCGGTTGCCCCTCTTCCAGGCCAGCCCTCTGCTGTGGCCAGGGAGTGCAGTGGAGGATGGCCCAGGTGCTTGGGCCCTGCACCCCATGGGAGACCAGGAAAAAAGCACCTGGCTCCTGGCTCCTGCCATCGGATCAGCGCGGTGCGCCAGCCGCAGCGCGCCAGCCGCGGCGGCCATTGGAGGGTGAACCAACGGCAAAGGAAGACCTTTCTCTCTGTCTCTCTCACTGTCCACTCTGCCTGTCAAAAAAATAAAAATTAAAAAAATAAAAAATAATAAAATAAAATAAAAAATTAAAAAGAAAAGATTTATTTTATTTATCTGAAAGGCAGAGAGAGAGAAAGAGAGAGATCTTCCGTTCGCTGGTTCACTCCCCAAATGGCTGCAATGGCCAGAGCTATGAGGATCTGGAGCCAGGAGCCAGAAGCTTCTTCAGGGTCTCCCACACAAGTGCAGGAGCCCATGGACTTGGGCCATCCTCTGCTTCTTTCCCAGGCCACAGTGGAGAGCTGGATTTGAAGTGGAACAGCCGGGACACGAACCAGCACCCATATGGGATGCCAGCACTGCAGGCGGTGGCTTTACCTGCCATGCCACAGCGCTGGCCCTGAATAATATAGGCTTTTTAGACTGCATAGCACCCTTTTAAAGAAAGTAACTTTGAGAGAAATGAAAACTGGTCCACATAGTCCTTTGATGGCTTTCAGTTGACTTGGTCTTGATTTTAATTACAGGGATCCTGTAAAATAGTTAAATCTAACCCTGCCTTAGTTTCATTATTAATTATATCTTTCAAATGTGGTAGACAGCAAAAGCAAAAGAATGATGTTCTGTACAATTCAACTAAGTATATCCCCTCTGAAGCAGTCTAGGTTTGATTTCATCCGTAAAGATGCTATTTTTTTTTCCTAAGAAGGAATACTAAAAGGAGTAGCAATGAAGCAGATGTTAAGAAAGAAAGATATCTCTTCAGAAGCTCAAACTGCTTTTCCTACAGATTGCATTTGCACATGATTCAACTCGTGTGATCCAGTGTTACATTCAGTATGGCAATGAAGAACAGAGAAGACAGGCATTTGAAGAATTGCAAGGTATTTGTTACGTTCTGAAGATTGTTATGATTTGTAATGAATCACCTGTTTTTTTCTTGAAATACACAGGACTGTCTTAGAAAGTAACTCTGTTGATGTGTCCTGTGCAGGGCTCTTTTTGTTTTTATTTGTTCTTTGCCTGGGACAAATAGAAAATTATTTGTCTTCTCAGCATTGTTCATGTATTTAGTTCTTCCCTTTGTTTCCAGAGAACTGAAAGTATGATATCAAATCACTTTAATATATTTTGTTTTTCAGGTGATTTGGTTGAATTAAGTAAAGCCAAATACTCCAGAAATATTGTTAAGAAATTTCTTATGTATGGGTAAGTTGTTCTGCTCATAAAGTATATTTTTCATTAGATCTTTGAAGATGTGGATTCTGAGTGTGCTCAAATATTACTTATAAATACTGCTCATAATAATGGCTCCCCACACGTGCTTGTGTGATTTCTAGGGAATAGCATGTTAAAAACAGTTATTGAAATGAAATGAGTATTTTTGTATTGCCTTCACAATTAGTAAGGACAAATTTTTGTATCTTGAATGTTTGGAAAACAAGAGATGGAATAATCATGATTAGTACCAATGTTTGGCAGGTGAACGGTTTGCTTTGGCAGGTGAGTAGGTCCTGAGGTGTGTTAGAGGGTTAGGAAAAGTCAAACGGGAGGATTTTCTAAATGAGGTGAATTGGTACTTGACCAGTCTTTTCTGAGTTTAATAATGTCCAGAATATGATAACCAACAATAAAAATGTATAACATGTGCAGTTGACAAGATTTTCTAAAAGATGTTTCTAGGTATAATTATAATCTGCTTTGATGTTTAGGATGTAAATCACTGCTTATAAGTAAGCCCTATTTTAAAAGGGAGTTGTATAATATATTTGATTCTTATTTCCCTGTATCTTTGACTTCTCCCTTTTTTCTTCTGTCCTTCTTTTCCTCCAGCTGACCAGTTTAATAGGAGCTGACATTCGTTGGGTGTTTGGTAGATGCTGGTCTCACTTCTCAGTGCATCTTAGCTCATTTAATCCTCACAGCAGCCTTCTTTGTACTTTGTGGGATAGGAAACTTAGACACTGAGTGAGTAAATGACTTCTCTCAGGATCTTTCAGCTGGGAAGCACAGCTAGCTTTCGAACCTGGCTGGGCTGGCTCCTGAGTAGCTTAAAGTTTAAAGTAGAAATTCAGGGCACATTGATGTTCCTACTCAGAAGTATTTCACTGTAGGAGAGCTCTGCTCACATACATTGATGATTGTGTCTCCAGAGCAATAAGTTATGCTTTTATGTCTCCTGTGATTGTGTTGAGTTTAGAAGTAAACCACAGGTTGCAGAGATAATCAGAAGTTTTAAAGGCCATGTGCGCAAGATGCTGCGGCATGCAGAGGCGTCAGCCATTGTGGAGTACGCCTACAATGACAAAGCCATCTTGGAGCAGAGGAACATGCTCACAGAGGAACTCTATGGAAATACGTTTCAGCTTTACAAGGTGATGCTTTCAGAAGTTTTCTTCTAATGCTTTTGTCTCCGTATATTTAGCAAGTGATCACACTTGGGTTTCTCTCTGTCCCGGAGTATTGGGACATCAAACTGTTGTTACTCTCTTCCACGTGCTCTGTGTGAATGCTTCATTTCTTCTATTTCTAGTCGGTCAGAGTGAGGTAAAAGATTCTCAGTAGTTGCAAAGCTTTGTTAACTACCTGCTTGCCAAGTCTGACTGAAATGTGTTGGGCTCTGATTTGCCAGTTTTTTCCTGCATTCCTGCAGGTAGTATCTGGAGAGGAAGAGGAGTAGAGAGACCTAATCTTGGATGGAGTACAGGAACTGAACCTGAGACTGGCCAGCAGTGGATCTAGGACTGTTAAGAGATCTGTTCCAAACTTTGGGATGTAAATGCCTGCATTTATGTGAAGGGATGTGGATTGGTTCCTGAGTGACCTTCCTTAATCAAGTTTAGTTTCGAGGTTGAACTTGTTGTGTTTCTTCTGTATGAGTTCCCTATAGGAATAATCCAAATAACTGCAAAACATGTTAGCCAGAATATATGAACCATTTATTTAGGATTAGGCACATTCCAGGTGTTTGACAAGTACCTGTTGGCTGGTAAGCTCGGTTGTTTAGCTGAAATGTCCGGAAAATGTTGGTAGACATACAGACTGAGAATTAAAATCAGGAATTGCTGCTTTAGTGCGTAATGTAGCAGGACTTTCATTAATGTAAATCTGAGAAATCTCAAATTTATTTTAAGCTTTTTAAAAATGACTATGGGCTGGCTCAATAGGCTAATCCTCTGCCTGTGGCGCCGGCACCCCGGGTTTTAGTCCCGGTCGGGGCACCGGATTCTGTCCCAGTCGCTCCTCTTCTAGTCCAGCTCTCTGCTGTGGCCCGGGAGTGCAGTGGAGGGTGGCCTAAGTCCTTGGGCCCTGCACCTACATGGGAGACCATGGCTCGCATGTACCTGGCTCTTGGCTTCGGATCAGCACAGTGCGCCGGCCGCAGCGGCCATTGTGGGGTGAACCAATGGAAAAAGGAAGACCTTTCTCTCTGTCTCTCTCACTGTCCACTCTGCCTGTTAAAAAAAAAAAAAAAAGATTACTATGATTTTCTTTGTTTTGAAGTGAAGAGTTTTATTCATTTAAAAAAGTTTGATTTTTGTTTTGTTGCAGTCAGCAGATCATCCAACTCTGGACAAAGTGTTAGAGGTACAGCCAGAAAAATTAGAGCTTATTATGGATGAAATGAAACAGATTCTAACGCCAATGGCTCAAAAGTAAGAAAAATGTTTTTTGTTGTTTTGTTTTAAACAAATTGGAAGGAGGCATTTTAAGAAGGGAAGTTTTGTATAATCCTTGCCCAGAAAAAGTAGCTGTTTCTCCCTTAATGTACCCTAAATAAACGTTTACAAATTTTGTTTTAAAACCCTCTTGGTGGCCAGCGCTGCAGCTCAATAGGCTAATCCTCCGCCTTGCGACACCGGCACACCGGGTTCTTGTCCCGGTCGGGGCGCCGGATTCTATCCTGGTTGCCCCTCTTCCAGTCCAGGTCTCTGCTGTGGCCTGGAGTGCAGTGGAGGATGGCCCAAGTGCTTGGGCCCTGCACCTGCATGGGAGACCAGGAGAAGCACCTGGCTCCTGGCTTCGGATCAGCGCGGTGCGCCAGCCACAGCGCGCTGGCCGCGGCGGCCATTGGAGGGTGAACCGGCGGCAAAGGAAGACCTTTCTCTCTGTTTCTCTCTCTTGCTGTTCACTCTGCCTGTCACACACACACACAAAAAAAAAAAAAAAAAAAAAAAGCCCTCTCGGTACAGAGGGAAAGCAGTTTTTTTTATACTGTATCCTGTAAAATTATAACATATTAAGTAATAAAACATTTTCCCCAATAAAATGTTAATGTTGAGCCCCTATGTACTAAATAGTTTCATGAATATTGTCTGTTGTTTAAATTGGATTGTAGATTTAGAAGCCTGTGCATGTGACATTCTCGGTGTCTGTAGCATAGTAGAGTGGCTGGGAGAATGGCCTTTGAGAATGGACTGCCTGGGTGCTATGCCTAGTACCCCGCACCTACTCCACCTGTTACTAATGGCAAACTTGGGCAACTTCTCTGAGCTTTAGTTTTCATTTCTATAACACTGGGATTAGAGTAGTTCTTACCTCACAGGATTCTATGAAGCTAAATGGTTTAATATTTCTAAAACACTCTGAAGGGTGCTTTGCCCACAAAGGCAGCATTAGTTTTTGCTCTCTCAATATTCCCTGTGAACTTTAGGTCTTTGATACCTGACCATCAGTCTATATGTATACCTCAATTCACCAAGTATCACACTAGAAGGCATGGACCAAGTAGATGCCATTGCAGTTGCTAACACTGTTTTTGGTCCCTGGGATATTTGTTTTTCTTTTTCTCCTCTTTTTCCTTCTCTTTCTTTCTTTTTTTTTTTTTTTTTTTTTAGATTTATTTATTTATTTGAAAGTCAAAGTTACATAGAACGAGAAGGAGAGGCAGAGAGGGAGAGGTCTTCCATCCACTGGTTTACTCCCCAGTTGGCCACAATGGCCGGAGCTGTGCCAATCTGAAGCCAGGAGCCAGGAGCTTCTTCTGGGTCTCCCACGTGGTGCAGGGGCCCAAGGACTTGGGTCATCTACTACTTTCCCAGGCCATAGCAGAGAGCTGGATCAAAAGTGGAGCAGCCGGGTCTTGAACCGCGCCTGTATGGGAATGCCAGCACATTGCAGGTGGCAGCTTTACCCGCTACGCCACAGCGCCTGCCCCATCTTTTCTTTCTGGAGAAAGAGATAGAACTCATCTGCTGCTTTACTTCCCAAATGCCTGCAACAGCTGGAGTCAAGAGCAAGAAATTCAATCTAGATCTCCCCTGAGGGTGGCAGGAACCCAACTCTTTAAGCCATCATTGCTCTCTCCCAGAGTTTGCATTAGCAGGAAGCTGGAGCTGGGCATTGCATTCAGGATGTGGATGTCTTAATTGGTGATTTGACCTCTAGGCTAAATGCCTATCCCCATTCAAGTTTTATTTCTGCTAAAATATTTTATGAAACTGAATGTAAAAGTTAGTTGACAGAGAGAAACTAGCTATAGAAAAATGGGTGCAGGGGCCAGTGTTGTGGCATAGCGGGTAAGGTCTCCATTGGTAATGCTGGTACCCTGTATGGGTGCCGGTTCTTGTCCCAGCTTCTCCACTTCTGATCCAGCTCCCTGCTAATGGCCTGAAGATTTTCCAAGTGCTTGGGCCCCTTGAGTATCATGGGATACCTGGGAAGTGAGCCAGAGGATGGAAGAACTCTTCTTTTTCTCTTTCTCTGTAATTCTGACTTTCAATAAATACAAGCAAATGAAGAATGAATACAAGGATTGTCTTGGTCGTTAAGATCCCATTTGGATGCCTGCATGCTATATCAAAGTGCCTGTGTTCAAGTCCTTGTTCTGCTTTTGATTCTGTCTGCTTGCCAGTGTGTACCCTGGGAGGCAGCAGGTGATGTCTCAAATACTTGGGTCCCTGCCACCCATGTGGGAGACCTGAATTGAGTTTCTGTCTTCTAGCTTCTGTCTGGCCCCACCCTGGCTGTTGCAGGTCTTTGGGGAGTGAACCAGTGGGTGGAAGTTCTCTCTTTGTCTCTGTTTGCCTTTCAAATAAAAATAAAATAAATTATCTTAAAAACTGAAAAAATAAATAGTTCACATGTAGATTTTTCACCATGTATCCATTGCTGGTGAAAAATATAAAGATGTCTATTTAAGAAGGTAGAGCATATTTTTAATGATTCACAGATGAGTAGATAGAAATTTGTTCTTTTGTCTTGGCTGTAGGTGACACTAAATGAATTTTATAGTCTAAACAATTGTTAGAAGTCTTAATATTATTGAAAAATAAAAATTGGTCTCATGATAAATTATATTTAATAAAATGATTTCACTTGTTTATAAAATTTTAGAATAGCTGAGGTTACTTATCTTTGTATGACCATAGTGCCAGAACTGATGTATTTTCTTTGTTTCTCCTTTCAGGGAAGCTGTGATTAAGCACTCATTGGTGCATAAAGTATTCTTGGACTTTTTTACCTATGCACCCCCAAAACTCAGATCAGTAAGTTCTCAGTTTTTGTTCTTCAACCAAAACAGAGGAGAAGCCTCGTAGAAATCGGAAGCACTGCTCTGATAAACATTGTCTTTTGGAAATTTTAAACAGTTACTTCCCTATTTAGAAAAAATAATTCACTAAATTTACTTTGAATAAGTCTGCTGATTCTATGTAGGTTTTTTCCAGAAAGCAATAGAATTGACTCTAGTTTATTTATTAATTCCATTGAATTTTTAGATTTTAATTATCTAGAGAGTATTCAGCATTCAGGTAGTTTTAAATTCAACTGTTTAGTTACTCCCCTGCCCAAAAAATTATGCTGACAGTAAAGGTTAGAGGAGGATACGTAATGTAAAACTAAATGGCCCATGAAAACCTGGCCCTTGTGTGCTAGGAAGAGAAGGGACAGAAAGTGAAGGCAAATCGCAGTGCCCTTCAAGTCAGTGATGAGAATACAGAGGAGAATTCACCCCTCAGTTCTCTGAACTTGGTTTGCCTCATCGTACAGTGAGCTTATTGTCCCTGTGTCCCCCTTTTCTCTGCACAAGGGACAACTAAAACAATGAGACCAGCTTCTTCTACCAAAAATGCTGGATTGTGCCAGCTATAGGAATTCTAACCCTGTCAAAAATGGCGTACAAACTTAATTTCCTCAGAGCAACGGAAATCATTGAAAACTTAGAAAGTAAAGTCATGAAATCATTGAAAACTTAGAAAGTAAAGTCATGAGGCCGGCGCCGCAGCTCACTAGGCTAATCCTCCGCCTTGCAGTGCTGGCACACCGGGTTCTAGTCCCGGTCGGGACACCGGATTCTGTCCCGGTTGCCCCTCTTCCAGGCCAGCGCTCTGCTGTGGCCAGGGAGTGCAGTGGAGGATGGCCGAAGTACTTGGGCCCTGCACCCCATGGGAGACCAGGATAGGTACCTGGCTCCTGCCATCGGATCAGCACGGTGCACCAGCTGCAGCGCGCCGGCCGCAGCGGCCATTGGAGGGTGAACCAATGGCAAAGGAAGACCAATCTCTCTGTCTCTCTCTCTCACTGTCCACTCTGCCTGTCACAAAAAAAAAAAAAAAAAAAAGGAAAGTAAAGTCATGAGACAAATTGACTTTTCTGGCACTAGGTGGGTTTCAAAAAGAGCCTGAAAGCATTGGGGATAATGGAAGTGTGTTTGGAACCTATGCATCTCTCCAACTGGATAGCTTGGAAAAGATTCCTAAGTTCAGGCAGCCATGTTCTTCAGCTTTATCCTAGGAGAGGATTATAAAGTACTTGGGGGTAAAATTGCTTGCTGATGAAACTAGGCAACTGCCCTTCCATTCTTCTGGCATGAGGCTTAATACTCATTTTCTTTTAATATTAATTTTAAATTGGGAACAGGCTAAAATGCCTTTCAGGGGTTGGCTACAATAACCCTTGTACATGCTATGTACTTACACTTTGAAAAGATAAATAAGAAGTTATATACATTGAAAATGAAGGCTTCAAGATTAAGTTAAACTACCTTGTAAGATAAATTTATAAAAGTGTATTTTATGGCTGAGGGCCTGGACTAAATGTTAACAAACATGTTAATATTTTCTGAGGGTAATGTCATTTAAGTGAGTTTATGGTAAAGAATTGGTGTGATTTTTAGAGGTAACTAGTGATAATCTGAAAAAGAAAACTTCTTTTGAAGTGTTTTGGTTCTCTCTATACATGTCTGTTTTAGAGAAGCATATTTTATTTAGAGAAGCTGTTCTTTTAAAAACACTTTTCACACCTGTTAGAACTCTTTTTCTTAGAAAATTATTTAGAATATATTATGCTGTATTGTAGGATATGGGTCTTTTAAAAACACACATTGATAGAAATCCGATATTTTGTTTAATAGGAGTCATCTGATAGTATTGGCTGTTCTTAGTGGCAAAGAATGTTTCTGAAACAAGGTTATGTTTGTTTTACTGTTTACAAAATTGAAAATAAAACTACTACCTATGCCTTCCTCCTTTAATTGTTTCTGCATAACTGCCTCCTTGTAGACAGACAGATAGAATAGCAAAAAGAGGGGAGGAAAAAAACCCAAAGCTCTGACAGCAGTTGTTCCCTAGGAAATGATTGAAGCTATCCGGGAAGCGGTGATCTACCTGGCACACACACACGATGGCGCCAGAGTGGCCATGCACTGTCTGTGGCATGGAACGCCCAAGGTGAGTGGGCAGGGGCTTATTTGTAGGTAAACAGTGTGTCAGTCAGGACCATGCCTTATCTGTAGGCTGGTCTTGCCTTTGGCTTTCAGTCCCCTATGGCCTTGCCCTTTGCCTTATTCTGCATAAACCACATTCCCTCCTTAAAGTTGTGCCCAAGGCATTGGATGTCTTTAGGCCTTGTATTTCCTCTCCACTTCAGTAGACAACTTGTGGTTCCACTAAAGTATGATAAAGTATCTGTCAGCTAGATAAACGCAATATTTTTGTTCAGCTTTAGTTTGTAAAGCTTTTGGTACTTGTGAGTCTCATTCATTCCTCATTTGTTGAGCATAATGGGAGAGGGGAGGAAGGAAGACATGACTTGCCAGCAGTATTTCTTATGTGGGTGTTGAGTACACTGAGAAGAGGGGTTAGGACCCATGTGAAGCACAGAAGTTTTAACAAATGAGCATCATTTCCTTAATCAGTATAATCCCACCTTCAAAAGATAATTGTACACTGCTGGCTTTTTTTATTTATGCAAATTTAATTTACTTCGGCAAATGCATTTGGAGTACTGTGTGCTAGACTCTTCTACATTTGAATTCAGACAGTGGAAGGGGGATCTCACGGGTTACACTGTAAAAGATGCCTTCACGAGGTTTGCCTTTCAACTGGAATTTTATGCTTCCAAATTAATGTCTGAATGGATTGTCCGGTACAAGCCCAAGATTATAATAGCTCTGAGAGGACTTTTGAAATGCAAGCTTCTCCTCCTTCCGGCAGTGTGACTCTTGTTTTGACTGATAGAAAGTACACCACTCAGCTGATGCTTTACTGTAAGAATGTTAACAATGAAATACCCTTAATCTATAACCAGAGATCATTGAGGCAGTTTTTCCTTTCTCAGGACAGGAAAGTGATTGTGAAAACAATGAAATCTTACGTTGAGAAGGTGGCTAATGTGAGTACACTAAAACTACTTACTTTAATTATTTTTAATAGTCAAGTGATGCATAGTATTAGAGAAAATTTGAAAATTTCAAAACATTCCCTAGAAGAAAATTATCCATTGTTTTATTTCTTTGCACTTTTTTCATATGTATGTTTTCATGTTATTTACACAAAATGGGATTCATACTACGTGTATTCTTTTTTCCCTTTTAGTAAAACATTGTATTATGACAGTTCTTCATTTTTACTCAATATTCTTAAAAGTCCTGTAATTTACTAGCTTCTTTAATTAGTGTTTCTAGTCATGTTCATTAAATATAGGAGTTATTGGCTGGGTAAGGTATACATAGCTTTTAGGCTACAGATGAATAATACTATATTGCACTTTAGAAACTGATGCCAGTTTTTATTACCATCAAAACATCAGAAATTAAAATTTATCTTTTTTTCTTAGAATGAATTCAGTACAGACGTAGAAAACTTTGAACTGATAAATTCCATGTTTCTTTGGTGTATTCTGGAGATGCAATAACAGCTTTCCTAATGAAATTATTGGATACAAAAAAAGTTACTTCATCAGGAATTAAATGCCTCAAAAATAATGTTTGGGGGCAGGCACTCAGTATAGCTGTTAAGATGCCTATATTTCATATCAGAGTATCTGGGTTTGATTCCTAACTCTGGCACTTGATTCTGGCTTCCTGCTAATGCAGACTCCTAGACATCAGTTATGGCTTAAGTAAGTCTACATGTATACATTGACAATTTCATTTGACTATTTTAAATTATAGAAAGTAAGACATGTTTAAATAATAAAATTGATTTGGTTGTTTTGATTTTGCAGTTTAGTTGTGTCAGATAATTCAACAATAAGCTTTTTGATAAACTAATCCCAATATGACATTGTGATACAAACAGAAATTTTTAGTATCTTTGTTTTTTTAAGTCTTATGTATTTCTTTATTTGAAAGGCAGAGTAATAGTGAGAAGATTTACATCCTCTGGTTCACTTCCCTAATGCCCATAAAAGCAAGGGTTGGGCCAGGTGGAAGCCAGGAACCAGGAACTCCATTTGGGTCTACCCTGTGGTTGGCAGGAACCCAGGTACTTGGACTATCTTCCGCTGCCTTCTCAGGCTGTTTAGCAGGGAACTGGATTGGAAGCAGAGCAGCTGGAACTCTTTTTACTGTCCAAGAGTTACCTCTACAGAAAGAAGACGAACTAACTTAGTTGATTTACTTTGTTGAGACTTGCTTAGCATGTGGTTTATCTTAGTATCTTGGAAAGAGTATATTGTGGTTTTGTTGGTATGGTTTTCTATAAATGTCAGTAAGATGAAGGTAGTTGATAGTGTTGGTCAGGTCAGCAATGTTTTTATTGGTTTCTGTACTATTTTCTAGTTCTATCAGTTGTAAAGGGAAGCATTGTTAAAGTCTCCAAATACTGTAAAATTGTCTTTTTTTCTCTTATATTTAATTCTGTACCAGCTTCTGTTGTGTCCATCCTGAGGTATTTTGTTCTTGGTCAAGCTTTTTAAATTGGTACTGTGGTGAATATCCTTATGGATAAGTCTTTATCCTTATGTGGAAGCATGTTTGTAGGGTGAATCTGTATAGCTAGAATTAAAGAGGTTCAACCATTTTATTTACTCACCAGCATAAATATGTGCCTGTTTGTATCCAAAGCGTTGACAAATTTGTTATTAGCAAAATTTTTTCCATTTTTTTATCGTACACATAGAAAATGGTATTTTGTTGCTTTAATTATCGCACTTAATGATTTCTTATAGCATTATTCCATGCATTTGAAAACATTGTACTTTTCTGTTTACTGACTGACTCTTCATGTTCTTTGTACATTGTTAGTTGTTTGTTGACCTCTCTAGTAGGGATGTTATGCCTTTGTTATTTCTCTGCAGTTTGTCTTTTGACCATATAGTTAGCAATCTTATCATTGTTTCTCATTGAAATCTTAACAACAGTTTTCAGTTCATATTCATTGTACCTGGTTCTGAGTGAATGTTGGCTATTTTTAAAAAAATCAAGTCTCCTTCAAAATTAAGAGGAAAACATAGGATATCATCACCCAGGATATCAAAAAAGCAGATGTTTCTGTATTATTCAGTATAAGTATACTTTTCTAGTTTATGTTTATTCTAATTATTTAGAATCATTTTAAAGAAGTTGAACAGTATATACAAAAGGAAATGAAAGATCATTTATGATCCTTTAACTCAGACATGACTATTGCATTGTAGTATTTAGCCTTACAGGGTGTTCTGTATGTATGTATTAGGTATGGAGGATGTATTCAGTTATGTCTGAGTTTATATTTTTTCATGATCTATGTATTATATATATGTATAGTTTTTTTGATCCTTTAACTCAGACATGACTATTGCATTGTAGTATTTAGCCTTACAGGGTGTTCTGTATGTATGTATTAGGTATGGAGGATGTATTCAGTTATGTCTGAGTTTATATTTTTTCATGATCTATGTATTAGATATATGTATAGTTTTTTCCCCACTTAATCTTATCACTTCAGTTTTCATGAGTTAGTTTTCAAGTAGCTTTTCATTAATAGGATACCTGTTTGGACAGGTATTGTATCTTAGTTAGTCTTGGGCAATTTGATAATGAAGTATTAAAATGAAAGCACCTATGTTTCTCTTTTCAAAAAAAGTCAGCTTTCTCTTGGAATATAATGAACTAGATTGTGATAAGCAAAGAAGCTCATTTGAATGGTTTTTATTCATCTTGTTTACCCTGTATCAGACAAGTAGACAGTGGTGGTAACCTTTACACAGCGACTCTATGCATTGAATAAGAGGGCAAAAATCTATGTATTTCTTTTTAACCTTTACTGGCTTCCACTTTTTACAGGGCCAATACTCACATTTGGTTTTACTGGCAGCATTTGATTGCATTGACGATACTAAGCTTGTGAAACAGATAATCATATCAGTAAGTAATTCTGATTGTCTTGAATTTAAGTTACATCAATTCATCAGTTATGAATATATAATTTTTTCTCACATGTATGTATACTAATTTTCAATGGCTTTATACCAGTATTTTCTGTTACTTTTTTAGTTGTCTCAAGTCTGATTTTAAAGGTTTGCTTTATTCCTATATAAATGATATGCTTATGCATTGATTTATTAACACCATTTTAAATATTTAAAAGACTGAGTAAATCAATCTTAACACTAATTTTGGATTAAGATAACCTGGATTTTAGATGGTATGAGATACTAAAAAATGGAAAATCAGCAAAGCCTTGTTGAGATTTGGCCAGTAATTAGTTTATGTAGAAAATCTTCAGTTATTCAGGATCTCATGTATGGGCAGAGGCTATCCATGCCTTTTAAACTCTTTCTCCCTATAGAGAAACTCTGCTGCATAGTTAACTCAGTTTATCCATACATCTGTGTAAGGTTGAGCTGATACAGAAAATACAAAAAAACTCAGAGCACTCACTCAGTTGTGATGTTTATTGGAGCTTTCATGAAAACTTTTGTAGAATCAGATTAAAAGTTAATACTAAGATCAAAATACTGGATTGCTTTTTACATTTCAGCAGTTTTTTCTGGCCTGGTACAATGAGAATAAAATGGTATTACTTGAATGCAGAAAAATGTGTTGTCCTCTTGGTAAAATTACTATAGAATAAGTTACATTCTGAGCTTTTTCTCTTTCCTTTGGGCTGCAGAGACTGCCCCTTTCTCTCTTCTCTCCATTTTCTTTTAATGTACATGTGGTATTTGGTGGAGGTTACAAGAGTGGGAATAAGAAATTGAAACATTGGTAGCAGTATCCAGACTTTAAGTTTTGAAAACCACCTAATCTGTATAAATGGTTATTATTCATGTGAAAATTACAGACATTTCATTTGACACACGTCTTTGGAGAAATCTTAGTGACAGAGGTGCTTTTACATCACAAACAAGGGAAAGTGCACGGATGGTTTAGAAAGAATTTACTTTTTGTTGTTAGGTGGTGATCCTGTGGCCTCTGGACCAGTAGAGCTGGGTGCGGTAAAAAAAAGTGCTATCAGCTCAGGAAAGGGAAGGTTATTTTGTTAGACGCCAGCTGTAGATCCCAGTATGTGTGAATTTCTCATGCCCTTGCTGTCATTTTCCAACTTTGGGCTTGACTATTTCAAGAGTGTGGTGACTCTCTTTGGGATAGGATTGTGGGAAGAAACAAGTTGGCAAGACTTTCTTGTCACAAACTGAGTGTTTTGACATATTCCTTGTGACTTTATTACCCTTTGACTCCAATCAATAATGATTGTTTTTCATTCCTGTGACAGAGATGTGAAGCCATAGAATTGGCTAATGAATAAGTTGTTTCACAGAAATGGAAACAGACTGGGCTATTGAAAGTTTGCTTTTGTTTAATATTTTCCTGAGGACTAAAATTTGCATAACTGTTCCAAATGGATTTCGCGAGAAACCAAACTTCATTTAGGATTTGCCAGTGTTGTCTACTAGGTTTATTCTTTCCAAAGATTCATCCCACATAAAATATCCATTGAAACAGTTTTCTTTACTTGTTCTTAGCAGTTGAATTTTATTTAACCCATCTTCCTGATTAGTTTCCCTAACTTGGGGCAACTTTCCGAAATAGCTTTACTTGCGGATCTGTTGTCTCTAACTGCCAAACGCCCAACAGATTCTTACATCATTCAACTATGTAGCTAGTGATAAAACTCTGGCATGCTAGTCTGTCTTGCGTATTTCCCACCCATCATCACCACAAAAACTTGTTGCAACATGTAGATTGCTTTTGAATATACCATACCAAAAATGGGTGTTGTGGTGTGGCGGGCAAGGCTGCTGCTTGGAATACCAGCAACTTGTGTTGGAGTGCGTGGTATGAATCCTGGCTACTGCCTGCTTCAGATCCAGCTTCCTGTGATGCACCTGGTAGGCAGTGGGTGATGGCCCAAGCACTTGGGCTCCTGCCACACGTGTGGGAAACCCACTTGGAATTTCTTCTTCCTGACTTCAGCCTGGCCCAGCCCTGGCTGTTTGCAAGCTTTTGGGGAGGAACCAGAAGATGGAAAATACCTCCCTCTGTCTCTCCCTCTCTGTCACACTACCTTTTAAATAAATAAATAAAACTTTTAAAAACTAGATAGGAAAGTTGAATACTGCTAAGTAAAACACTGTATTCAGGATATGCAGACTTCCCAGAATCTCAAGTTGAAATCAGAGCCTGGTCAGCTGAACCCTTCGCCTTTCATAATGAATACAAATAATGTCTTACATACTTTACTTCCAATATAAATATACTTAGAAAATTTGATCCATTTCACCCTGAAGTCATTGACAGGATACAGCTAGTTTGACAGCAGTGATTCTGAAGAAAAAACAAGTACTAGCCAGTTGCTGTTTGAGGGTGAATAAATATGGATGCATATTTTAAAATGTATTCAAAATACACTTCAGCTTGTGTAGTGAGCAGTCAGTCTCTCCATCTGACATAAAGAAGTAAAATCTGATAAGTATAGTTCAGGCCTTTTGTGTATTTACCCCAAGCCTATCTACTGTAGTGAATTGGGCATTTATTGTGCATACGTATTTCCTTATCTGTCCACTAATGTAGAGCATATATAATATGATTTTGTATATTTATAAATTGTAAATAAAAGCTATCTTATATGTATTCTTGTGCAACTTGCATTTTTGACACCTTCTGATGTTCATCATTGGGCTGGCAAGCTTTTTTTGTAAAAGGCCAGATAGTAATTATCTCAGGTCTTTTGGGTCATATGTGATCTCTGTCATATACTCTTTGTCTTGTTTTTCACCTTTTAACAAGCCTTCGACCTATAAAAACCATTCCTGTCTTGGAGAATGTCCAATAATAAGCTGCAGGCTAGGTTTTATCCATGGGACATAGTTGCCCACTCCTGTTCTAAATCATTGATTGATTGAGGTCAAACAGTAGACTACCATATAAATATACTGCAATTTGAATTTGTTTTTCTACCTTCCTTGTGGTATTTAGATTGTTTACAATTTCAGAAACTTTCTAAATTCTTACTAATATTTGCTATTTCAAATAATTAATCATTCTTATTTCTGTCTCCTTGTGCACATGATAAGAGTTTCTTATAGGCATTCACTTAGAATTGCTGAATTGTCCAATATGCTAGTATACAAGATGTTTATATAGAATCACATGACCATGTATTTCCCACCCAGCCACTACAAAACCCATTACATTATGCTGTGCTTTAAAAAAGAGCCAAGAAAACATAGTGTTTAAACATTCTCTTCAGAGGGAGTGAATCTCCTGAAATGTCAAATTGGAGTGTTGGCCTGATAATCACTCCTAGTTTCCTATCAAGACCAAGTTCTGGTCAGTTCCCAAATGAATGTTCTATGATCTTCAAGCCAGGTCTGTTCTCTGCATCCTCTCAATTGCTGTAGTCTTGGTCTTTGCCATCTGTTCATTTGTGATTTTCTCTAAATTAGTTCCTATCAGAGGTAAACTAAGCCACAGTCTTCAAATGGGTTAATTGTTGGTATGTTAAGGATGCTCTATCTTGAGAAGTGTCTCTGTAATTGAAAACAATTACTTTATATCAGTTTTCAGCCTGGAGTGAAAATTTTCTGATTTGTTCTTGGTAATAGCTCCTGGATCCAAAAGGTATACTGTTTCCTTTTAAAAATGAGGACACAGGGGCTGGCGCTGTGGCGCAGTGGGTTAACACCCTGGCCTTAAGCGCCGGCATCCCAGATGGGCGCCGGTTCAAGACCCAGCTGCTCCACTTCCAATTCAGCTCTCTGCTATGGCCTGGGAAAGCAGTAGAAGATGGCCCAAGTCCTTGGGCCCCTGCACCTGCGTGGGAGACCCGGAGGAAGCTCCTGGCTCCTGGCTTTGGATCGGCGCAGAATTTGTGTCCAATTGGGAGTGAACCATCAGATGGAAGACCTCTCTCTCTCTCTCTCTCTGCCTCTCTTCTCTCTCTGTAACTCTGACTTTCAGATAAATAAATAAATCTTTAAAAACTTTTTAAAAAATGAGGACACAGATGTGCAGAGAGGTTAAAGAATTTGCCGGAGGCTCCTCAGCTTGACTTGAGGAGTCCAGAGACCAAATTCACCACAAAAAGAGCTGCACCACAGCTGTCTCTTACTTAGACTTGTTGCTGGTAATCCGTAGTCTCTGGGCAGTGATCTAAAAACATGGTTTTAATCCGGGTTAAAGTAAAATGGATTTGTAGTCCATATATAACCACACTTAGGTACTGTTTGGTTTGTTTATTTGAAGACATATATTTTTACATGATAGGGCAAAACTGGAAAGAACAAGGCTGAGGTGGGAGTGGGAAATTAAATCTTAAATTTTGAAGTAAATATTTTTGAGATTCATAAAATTGTTTACTAATATTGTCCTGCAAAAAAACCTTTAATTCAGCATAAGTGTAGATTCCAAATTCTTGATTACAAACCGAAAGGCAGTGAAGTGCAAGATATTTGGGAAGAAGCCTTTGAGTAGTATTTATGCCTAGGTTCAGTGTGTATCTTGAAGTACCAGTTTAGTGTGTTACAAAGCTGTTTCTGTCCAAGTGCTCAGTGTAGAATATGTTGCTAGCTACATGCTTCCTCCCTTTCCTTCTTCTACCAAGAAAAAATGTTCAATTTTAAAATACAGAGTGGTTGTGATAGTTGCTCCTGGCATACTCCTCAAAGGTAAACTAAGGACCATCAGGCACCTTGTCTTAGAATGGGCCAGCCTGTGTCCTTCTCACCCCTTTTGTCTCATCAAATTAACAGATAAAACAACAAATTAATGCATCTGTCTTCTGTGAATTGGAGAAAGTTCCATACAGGGTACCTAAAGAAAGATGCCCTGGAGACACTCAAGTACCCCTCTTTAGAGGCCCGAACGCTTCGTAATCCAAAACTTGCTCGTATTGAGTCCACTTTATGATTTTTACTTTGAAGTTATGGAAGAACTCCCTATCCTGTAAAGAATTCTGTAGATTTTTTTCTGTCTTCCTTTTTATTACAGAAATTTTAAGTTCATTTTCCCTAGATGATTGAAATTATAAGCCCATTTTGAGGTGGTTAGATTGGTTTTCTGGGAACTTCAGTGTTTTGTATGTTGATCTTTATCCTCTGACTTTAAACTTCTTCAGAAGCAGTTAGGAGAACTTAGTGGAGTTGGAGTCATGGGAACAGGGCACCATGGAGTGAAGAGTATTTAACAAGATAGACCATCGGCAGCATTTGGCTCGAATTAAGCACTTAACGTGTTAGCTACTCTTGCTGTCAAAAAGCATAAATGCTTTTGTGCAAAAACGTAAGGCAAGTTTGGGACTACTACAAACAAATGTGGTATGTGGAGTTACACTGTCAGTTGTAGAATCATTAATTTTACTGTCTTAAATTTTAGCTTGGTTCCTCGTTCTAAAGTTGCTAACTTTGCCCTAAGCTTTTGAGAAAAACAAAGCTGAATACATCATCCTACAGAGAATTCCTTTCTTAAGAGGAGGCTGTGTGTTCTTCCAAAGAAACTAGATTTGTATCGGGCTCAGGACTAGGCACAGCCCTGTCACTGATATTATACATCCTCTGGGCAAATCACTTCTCTCCCCTGCTGGAAGCATCATTGCAAACCTAACGAGTTGGGCTGAGTTCTTTGTATGGCCCCTGGCACTGTAAACCACCTGTGGTGCTGGAACTACACATGCATTTAAATAGTTGTAGGTTTTCTTAGAAATAGAACTGTCAGAGTGGGGAAATGCAAGCTAATGACTTTTTTTTTTTTTTTCTGTGTATTCTTTATTAGGAGTAAAGGGATTTTTTAATGCAGTGGTGTTTCTGTCTTTGAAAACATCAGTAAGTTTACACAGGAGCTCAGTTGAGGTGGGGCCAGCACTGGTTTTGTCAGTTCATTCTGAACCACCAGTGAAGGAGATTCCTGTCCTTGGGGGTGTTGCCTCAAAAAGTCACAGTGCCCTGTGCCACTGCTCAGTGGAGGCCCTCTGGGTCTGCTTGCCCTTCCCCTCTGTGTTTGTTGCTCAGCACAGTGGTTACAATAGCATTCATTTGCCTTGAATAAGCCACCAATTCTAAAAGCCTTTACCACTTATTCTCTTTAATGAAATTTCTTTATCTCCATCACGTACATCGTACAGGGCAGGTCTAATAGCAACATTCTTTATCTATGCTGATGTTGCAGCTGCAGATGAACTGTGTCTATGCATTGACCCCAGCAAGCCACGTCCCAAAGCACAGTGGCCTAAGAACTATCAGTAATGCCAGTCACAATAGAGAATGGATTCTGCATTCCAAGGGTGCATCTCTGTGTTTTAATGCAATGATGCAGAACTAGCTCCACATTTTCCATTAAGTACCCTGGAGAATAACACGTGTTAACTACTCTTACTATCAAAAGCACATACACTTTTGTGCAAAAAGTGGAGGAAGCCTGGGATTATATAACAAGTGAAGCACAGTGCAAACTTTTTTGCCACTCACTTCCCAAGTATATTTTTAAAATGTAGTATTAATTTTTTGTTGTTGTTTGTAATTTTGTAGGAGATTATCAGTTCCTTGCCTAGCATTGTAAATGACAAATATGGAAGAAAGGTCCTGTTATATTTACTAAGCCCCAGAGATCCTGCCCATACAGTACGAGAAATCATCGAAGTTCTACAGAAAGGAGATGGAAATGCACACAGGTAACAGCTAGTAGAATGGCTTCACTCCTTCATTCCTCTGCTTCAGTTCTTCATTAATGCTGAGTAGCCCGTGCCGCCACAGGTCCACTCAAGGATGCACACCTTCTCTCTATAAAATTTCTCAAGAGGTGAATCCCGTTGTTTAAAAAATATTCTTATGGCCAGCGCCGCGGCTCACTAGGCTAATCCTCCGCCTGCAGCATTGGTACCCCGGGTTCTAGTCCCAGTTGGGGCATCAGTTCTGTCCTGGTTGCTCCAGCTCTCTGCTGTGGCCCAGGAAGGCAGTGGAGGATGGCCCAAGTGCTTGGGCCCTGCAGCCACATGGGAGACCAGAAGGAAGCACCTGGCTCCTGGCTTCGGATCGGTGCAGCGCACCGGCCGAAACGGCCGTTTGGGAGGTGAACAAACGAAAGGAAGACCTTTCTCTCTGTCTCTCTCTCTTTCTCTCTAACTCTGCCTGTCAAAAAAATACATAAAAAATAAAAATATTATTCTTGTTTATTTGGAAGGCAGAGTTAGAGAGAAAGAGAGAGAGACAAAGAAAAACAGATGTTCCGTCCTCTGGTTCACTCCTCAAATGGCTGCAACAGCTGGGACTGGCCAGACCAAAGCCAGGAGCCTGGAGCTTCCTCCAGAACTCCCATGCAGGTACAGGAGTTTTCATCTTGAAAGTGAAATAAAAGTGTCATGCCAAAAGAATACCTCTGAGCACTTGGCACATAGTAGACACTCAGGTGTGCAGTGTATTTTATTTTGCTTTATTCACATATATACAGAGCATTTGAGTGCAGAGAGTAGGGTTCGTAAAGTAATCTAAGTGTGTGTTGTCCTGCGCAATATTTTGTTGTTTCATTCGAACATATATAATATGAATAATATTATTACTATTATTGCATGATCCAAGCTTCATTTATGAGTGGTTGTTCTGTACCAGGCACTGTTCAGCTGTTGGAGACATAGAAATGACAAATAGAACAAACACTCAAATCACTGAGCACCTGCATGCTTTATTTTTTTTAAAAAAAGATTTATTTATTTATTTGAAAGAGTTACAGAGAAGCAGAGGCAGAGAGAGAGAGGTCTTCCATCCACTGGTTCACTTCGCAGATGGCCGCAACAGCTGGAGTTGCGCCGATCTGAAGCCAGGAGCCAGGAGCTTCTTCTGGGTCTCCCACACGGGTGCAGGAGCCCAAGGACTTGAGACATCTTCTGCTTTCCCAGGCCATGGCAGAGAGCTGAATTGGAAGTGGAGCAGCTAGGACTCATACTGGCACCCATATGGGATGCCGGTGCTGCTGGCAGCAGCTTTACCCACTACGCCACAGCACCAGCCCCTCTATATTCTTTAAAATAGGCTATCAACGTTGAGGGTGGGGAAGGCAGTGATAAGCACTTAGAGAAGTTTCTGTGGTAATAGGATCACCACATTTCCTTTGCCATTTATTTTACCCAAATTTCTCTTTTTATATTTTCTGACAGTAAGAAAGATACAGAGATCCGCCGACGTGAGCTCTTAGAGTCCATTTCTCCAGCTTTGCTAAGCTACCTGCAAGGACACGCCCAGGAGCTGGTGCTAGATAAGTCTGCTTGTGTGTTAGTGTCCAGCATTCTCGGATCTGCCACTGGGGACGTCCAGCCCGCCATGGCTGCCATCGCCACCCTGGCAGCAGCACCTCTGCATCCTGGCGGCAGCGACGGAGAGGTAATGAACTGCTCTCAAGACAGGCAGCCACACTGCAGAAACTCCCACAGGGAGAACAGCACAGCAGGACCTCTGAGCTTGTCTCAGAACAAGTGCATGTGGAGTTTCTGAAATCAAAACAGGGCCCTTGCAACACTTCTCTTTCTCAGAAACTTGCCACGACTCCACATTGCTTACAGAGTAACAACAAAATCCTCTTACCCTCTTACTGTCTTATCCATGGTTGACTCTAGGCTGCCTTTTCCAGCATATTCTGTACCCTTAATTTCTATTGTGAATTTGCTGTGAGGTTTTATTTTTATATTTGAAAGGCACTATTACAGAGAGAAACATCTTCCATCTGCTGCTTCACTCCCGAAATGGCTGCACTGGCTAGGGCTGGGCTGACCAAAGCCAGGAGCCAGGGGCTTCTTCTGGGTCTCACATATGGGTGAAGGGCCCAAGCACTTGGGCTGTCATCCACTGCTTTCTCATGTGCATTAGCAGGGAGCTGGATTAGAAGTGGAGCAGCAGGGACTTGAAGTGGTGCCCATCTGGGATTCCAGTGTGGCAGGCGGCGGCTTTACCTGCTATGCCACAATGCCAGCACTGGGACTCATGTTCTTCTTTTTTATTTATTGATTGATTGATTGATTGATTGATTTTGACAGGCAGAGTGGACAGTGAGAGAGACAGAGAGAAAGGTCTTCCTTTACTGTTGGTTCACCCTCCAATGGCCGCTGTGGCTGGCACACCACACTGATCCGAAGCCAGGAGCCAGGTACTTCTCCTGGTCTCCCATGCGGGTACAGGGCCCAAGTACTTGGGCCATCCTCCACTGCACTCCCTGGCCACAGCAGAGAGCTGGCCTGGAAGAGGGGCAACCGGGACAGAATCCGGCGCCCCGACCGGGACTAGAACCCCGTGTGCCAGCACTGCAAGGCGGAGGATTAGTCTAGTGAGATACGGCGCCGGCCCAACCTTGCCTTCTTAAATTCAACTGACTGTGCCCCTGATAAGTGCTAGACAGAGGCCAACACATGTTTCCAAAAAAAATATTTACACAAATAATTAAGTTAGTATTAAGATAAGATCTGTGAAGGAAAACTACAGGTTCTGTGGGATTGTGTCAGAATATACAAAAGCCAGCTGATTGCCAGGAAGCTTCCCGTAAGCAGTAAAAGCTAAGCTGAGACCGTTGATAGTTGCTCAGTGAAAAATGGTAAAAGATTCTGGGCTAAAGGAACAGCTTGAGGAAGGAGGGAGCCAGGCATGTTTGAGAACAGAAGGTTCAGGAGTTGGAAGTCACTGAGTGCAGGGAAGAGGAAGCGGAGTCCAGACCACACAGGACCTTCATTTTGGACAAGGTTGTAACTCCTGACAGGTGGCTGTGGGAAGCCTGTTTTCTGAGGCAGTGGCCTCTGCTCTCACCTCATCTCACAATAGCCTTTATCTTACTTGATTCTTGGAATCCCCACTCATTATTATCCCTCATATTACAGGTTCAGGATATGGAAGGATTTGTTCAGGTTGCATTCCTTTCATTCATTAATCAGACACGTCGGGGTGGGCACCGGCACAAGGGTTAAGCCACCGCTTGTGACGTCCGCATCTCAGGGTGCCTGAGGTCGAGTCCCACCTCCGTGCCCTGCTTGCTGGAAATGCCCCCAGGAGGAAGCAGATGATCGTTCCTGCCACCCAAGTGGGAGGCCTTGCCTGAGTTCCTGGCTCCTGGGTTTGGCCTGATCCTGGCCTGGCTGTTGCAGCCACGTGGGGAGTATAGCAGCAGATGGCAGATTTTGTTCTGTTTCTCCCTCTCTCTCACTCTGCCTTTCAAATATATAAATGAAACTTTTAAAAATTATAGTAACTCCTTACTGAGTGCTTATAAAAGTATTCAAAGATGAAACGATGGGGTCTCTGTCCTGGCGGTGCTCGGTGCGTTGAAGAGTGGCATGCAAGCAGGATGTTAACCAGACAACAAGGGAATCGTTGTAGTAGCATGGTTTGGGCTGTGATGGGAATGGATGGGAGCCTGGTAGGATGTGAGGGGGTTCTGAATTTTTATCCAGATCTCCGGACTTCTGTCACTGTGGACGGCAGTGGCCACAAACATCAGAACACCTCATGGCCTCATCAGACGTTCATTACCACAGTAAGGAGTAGAGTGGCGCAGATCACCGCACGTGGGGCTGGCCTCATGGACGCCGCCTCCTGGGCCCGCTCTGTCCTTGCTCTGCTGCCATTGCTGTGTGGTTGCATGATTGCAGGCTCCCTGTTGCAGCGTCAGCTCACACCACCACGGCTGGGTCCTGAGCAGGAGGGAGAAAACAAGAGCGTGGGGCTTTTCCTCCTTTACCTAGGAGAACCCCCGGACAGGCTTGCCTGACGATTGTCTGTCAGAACTGAGTCACATACCGGCTTCCGGCTTAGCAGGCCTGCTGGCGATGAACGCCCTGGAGAGAGCCCTCTAGAAAATGCACACGAGGAGGGGCTGCTGCGGGGAGGAGAGCTGGGGAACGACATGTTTATGAAGCAGGCGCCCAAGAGTCTTCCACAGCAGGGTTACACTGGATTCACTTTTTTTTTTTTTTTTTTTAAGATTTATTTATTTATTTAAAGGCAGAGTTAAAGAGAGAGAGAGGTCTTCTATCTGCAGGTTCACTCCCCAATTGGCCACAATGGCCGGAGCTGTGCTGATACAAAGCCAGGAGCCAGGAGCTTCTTCCGGGTCTCCCACATGAGTGCAGGGGCCCAAGGACTTGGGCCATCTTCTATTGCTTTCCCAGGCCATAGCAGAGAGCTAGATTGGAAGTGGAGCAGCCCGGTCTTGAACCAGCACCCATATGGGATGCTGGTGCTTCAGGCCAGGGCATTAACCCGCTGTGCCACAGCGCCGGCCCCTGTATTCACTTCTCTTTTTTTTTTTTTGACAGGCAGAGTGGACAGTGAGAGAGAGAGACAGAGAGAAAGGTCTGCCTTTTGCCGTTGGTTCACCCTCCAATGGCCGCCACGGCTGGCGCGCTGCGGCTGGCGCACCACGCTGATCCAATGGCAGGAGCCAGGTAACTATCCTGGTCTCCCATGGGGTGCAGGGCCCAAGTACTTGGGCCATCCTCCACTGCACTCCCTGGCCACAGCAGAGAGCTGACCTGGAAGAGGGGCAACCGGGACAGAATCCGGCGCCCTTATCGGGCGGATTAGCCTAGTGAGCCACAGCGCCGGCCTGTTTTCACTTCTGATTCCCCTAACCATCTGGGTCAAAGCCCTGCAATTGGCTGTGTTTGCTAAGGACAGGTATTTCTTTCTGGAGAAAATGATGCCAAATATTGAGTGCCCTGGCTGCTTCTGACACATGGGATTGGGAAAGAGCAGTGGCCCTGGGTCCAGCCCGGGTCTCTGTCCTCCTAGAGCACATCATAGGAGTACATGGGAAAGATGAATCCCTACTGAGCATTTTCGCCTGTACTCAGCGGGGAGCGCCTCTCGGCCCTGTGGGGACAGTTGCCATGGCCCTTAAGAAGGAGGAAGGCTGGGACGAAGAGAGCCCTGGCCTGCTCCTCACATAACACCTGTCATGTAGTCACGGATTTAAACATCGTTCAGCATCCGGTTTTCACGTTTCTGCCCTGGTGTTCTGGCTTTCATTCAGTTGTACCTCAGAACTGCTGCTGCAGTCCAAGTAGTAGTTGCCGTGATTTCAAAATGAGCATTCTGGGGGTGCAGTTCAAACTAGGCCTCCTGCAGCTGAGCCTGACGTGCTGTGCCCTAGATACATTGCCCCATGTGACCATCTTGGGGCCCGGCTGGGGACTGCAGTGGCACTAGTCCCTACCAGTATGATGGGCATTCTAGGTAAAGACCTCTTAGGCTCTGTGGAACTCTAAGCTTGGCTGAGCCCTTACCTGTATGTGGTGATATAGAATGAATCGTGGGTCGAGGCATGTGTGAAAGCCAGCTTTTAAAATGAACATGTTCTTGACTCCTCACAGCTTCATGTTGCGGAACATCCTGCAGGACATCTGGTTCTGAAGTGGTTGATAGAGCAAGACAGAAAGATGAAAGAAAGTGGAAGAGAAGGTAGGCTGTGAAACAACTCTTCCTCTGTCTTACACAGAAGAACTTCAGTAATCGCTGGCCTCCCTAAACTGTGCACTGGCCACTAAAGTTCAGGGTGTGGTATGTCAAGTGCTCACGAATGCTGCATGTAAGAAATGATGTAGAGGTTGCAGATACTGCTTTTCCCTCTAAAAATTGTGTCCAAGAATCTTAATTTTTTCCCCTTTCCCACCTGTCTTCTCTTCTCTCTCTCTTCCCTGCTCTGCTGCTTCAGACTTGTGCTTGGGTGTGGTCATCACCCTAAAATGCCATGCTGTTCCTGGAGGATGAGGGATGGGGTGGAGAACCCCACTTGTTAATGCCATGGCTCCAATCGCAAGGCTTGGTATTTCTGGATTTGAGGCAAGCATAGCAGAATTATTTGGCACTGGGTCGCATGTGACTGGAGAGCAAGCTAGTGCTTGGGGCTCTCTGGGTTTTGCCAGCCTTACAGCTGCTCTGTAGAAGCTCTGTTCTCACGAGGAGGACAGCATCTTTTATCTCCTTGAAAAGCTGCATTCCATTCTCTCTCAGTCCTGGCTTTAACCAGACGTTTCTTTTGCTAGATTCTGACTCTGTCTGCTCTTAAACCCCTCCACTGAGTTCAAACAGTTTGGGCTTTTCTCTCACTGTCTGGAAAAAGCAGCAGATTATAAATTTGTGTCTTGAGGCAAGCTGCAGTTCTAATGCCTGTGGAGGCCTTCAGAATAGCAGTAGAAAAGGTGCTGAGGGCTGTTTTTCACATTAGCTTTTTTTGTGAAAGAGAAAGCTTATAATAAATATTGAAGAAAAATTATCCAACACCTTTTTCATCATTCAGAAAAAAATGGTTATATATGAGTTGAGGCCAAAACATTGTCTGGCTTACATTTAAAGTCCAAGGAATTTTCTAGTAATTTTTCTCCTTCCTAATTAAAATGTACTGACAGTGCTAAAATAACTCCTGTTGGAACCTGATGTGTTTGTCATTTTCATGTAGCACCAAATGAGGGTTTGTCTGTTTTGATTATCTGTTCCTGTGTCACAAGCTACTTCAAAGCTTCATATTTTGCAAAAGAGCAGTCATCCAGTCAGGGTGGGACTTGTCTCTGCTCTCACCAGAACCATCTGGGTCTGCTCATTCTGGGATTGCAGCATCTGCTTTTACAGCAGCACTCTCACATGGTGGGCATGTCCTAGCCCGCAGCCTCACTTCCTTTTCCTTAAGCCACTTGGGCATCTTCACAATATGGTGATTTGTTTCTAAGAGTGAGCATCCCGGGGCCAGCAGGTTAAGCCACCACCTGCAGTTTCAGCATCCCATATGGGCATTGGCTCGAGTCCCAGCTGCTCCACTTCCCATCTAGCTCCCTGCTAATGGGTCTGGGAAAGTAGCGGTGATAACCCAGTACTTGGGCCTCTGCCACCCACTAGAGAAACCCAGAGGAAGCTCCTGGCATCCACCTTACCAGCTGTAACTGTTGTGGCCATTTGGGTAGCAAACCAGCAAATAAAAGATCTCTCTCTGTCTCTCGCTCACTCTCTGTAACTATGCTTTTCAAATAACATGAATCTTTTAAAAACAGAGAGAGAGATTGAGCATCCCAAGAGAAGAAAGCAGATGCGTTATAGATTGTGATTTAGCCTCAGAAGTTACTTAATGTCACTTTAACCATAGTCTCTGGCACAAATCAATCACAGAGCCTACGCAGAGTCAAGAGAAGATATAGATTGCACCTCTGGATTGGAAAGAGGCAGTATCCTAGAAGAGTGCACAAAATAGATAATGCAGCCACTTTTGGAAAACATAGACTACCTCAGTCGTTGGTCTCTCTCTCCCTTTACCAGATGCATGCTACCTAAGCAAGGTGCTTGCCTGCAAGTAGGTTATCCCTACGTCCATCTGCACTAAATTCTAGCCATCAGAATTTCTCCTTTATCTTTATCTAAGAGAAAGTTAAATCGGGATGAGACCATGAGTACGATAATACAACCTTGAGAATTGGAAATACTAGAGTAACAGAAGTTGAATGGTAGTTTTGATGCTCAAGCGTTACAGAGAATGACCATGTGTGAGGCAAAACTGTTATTCTTCAGCACCAGCTGTGTTCTCTGCACCTCTGATTCCACCAAACAAACATTTACTTCCTAGACAACTGTCAGGTCAGGTTAAATCATTCACTGTCGGAAAGACATGCAGACATGATCAAGGGCGCGTTTCACAAGAATTCATTGTTTTTCCTGAGTAATTACTGCTCAGCGTAGCTTAGGATTTAGATCAGAATTCCAAGAAGTGGCTGTATTAAAAACACATTGTATAAACCTACTTAGGAATTTTTAGCATTAAGGGGTTTGAGTAAGAACTCTTCCATTAGCTTTTTATGAGAACATTTTTCAGATTGAAGACAATGGAGCTGGAGACTGAGAGTTTAAGTCTTGGGAAGTGGTGTTCATGAAGTGTCTGTGCATTTTACAGGTTGCTTTGCAAAAGCACTGGTAGAGCATGTTGGTGTTAAGAACCTGAAGACGTGGGCCAGTGTCAATCGAGGTGCCATAATCCTTTCCAGGTGCGTGTAGTGTGTGGCTTTCTCTGTACAGGGCCTGGTCATGCGTTCAGAAGACACACTGTGTCCGTGCTCCTTTCTCACTCTGTTCCTCGCGGTCACTGTGGTCTACACGGGCATACCAATGTCAGAAAGCAAATGGAGCCCTTTCGCTCAGTCCTTAGGGGTTTTTTTAGGTTGTGCTTTCATATGGTTTCACTACAGATACAGTTTTGACCAAAACATACTTGTATTCTTTTTAATCAATAAGTCCTATTCCTATGAAAACTGTGACCAACTTTACATGTGCCTAACTTTACATGTAATTTCCATTCGTTATTCTCAGCAGTTCTAAAAAGATAGGAAAAGCATTTGCTACAGAAATCAATGTGGGAATTGATTTTTATCTTAAAATGAGAGAAAACTGGTAGTGTGTGGATTTTAAGGTCCATCTTGCACGTTGTTCTCTGGAGTTAGAAATGTTGAATTTTTAATTTTCAAGTCATTGAAATTTCCACACATACTGTGCATAGCTGAAACCCTTCTGTTAAGAACACTTATTTAAAAAAAAAAAAGAGTTGTATGTTACTTTGAAGTAATCATGGTTGATTCTACCCCTGCTGTGTCACCAAGGTTTGGAAAGTCAGCTACCAATCCTCGTTTGATTTTCCCACAGTATTTCACTGGCAATTTAATCTGTATTGTTTATAAAGTGGTGTGTTAAGTGTTCCTCCAGTAGAAACTCACAAACAGGCCCACAAAAGAGCATTCATTTCTTCAGGTATATCAGTTTCTCTAAATAAATGGATGTGTTAGATAATTTACAGCATTTCTCATTAAAATCAGTTAATTTTCTAATAGATGTTGAACTGCCAGAATCCATTAACTGAAGAATGAGATTTTTTTGTTATGAGTTGCTTTAGCAGGCATTTGAAGTGTTAACACCTACTGATGCATTCTTTTATTATACTCAATTAACTGGAAATTTCAGCAATGCCATGAAATTAATTGAAAAAGGTTGCTCATCAATCAGAGCCCCATTTGGGTGGGTTTAAACATAAGAAGGGTAGTGTAGGGTCCCTGTGGAGTACTGCATAGAATTGGGACAGGCACACGTGATATAATTGAGGTTCTGAATGAAGTTGGAGCTATAAAGAAGTTGTTACAGTAATCATTTTTGTTTGCTTTTTGTATAATGTAATTCACTTAATTTTTTGGTAAAGTTCGCTGCTTGTTTATATTTTACTTACAACTCATGTGTTTTGGGTTTGTTCGTTTTATTTTTGTGGATTTTGTGCTGTGTCTTTTTACAGTAAGTGGGAAAGTGTTTTGGATGAAAGAAAATCAGCCTTGTGTGCTGGCTGCAGAGAACGTGGGCGAAAGGACTCTCTAGCACTGAGTGAGGCCCACTGGCTCGGTTTCCACGCCACCCTCCTGGATAGCCTTGGAAACAGCCATTCCGCTTCCCTGAGCCCTGCTTTTCTTGCTTATAAAAAAAGTTTAATAATAATCCTTAAAAAAAATGAGAGAAACTAAATGAGTTTGAACATGTAAAATGCTGAAGGTGTGACACATGCTCACTGTATTAACTTGTATTATACAGTTATATGACTGCTATATGACTGTGTGTTTAGCCACGGTTTATGAAATAAAGCCCCCCGTGAGTCACACATCCATTCAAAGGGTGCTTTACTTTGCAGATTTCCAACTTTGCAGATGGCAAGCTGTCTTTGCTGCTGTCTTCCTTAAACAGTACAGTGCTGCTTTGTGCTGGTAACTTAGCCTCTTTTTATGGGCATGATGGACATTATTCAAAGCAGGCACTTTTGAAATTGCCAAGTGATTTCTTTCTAGAATGTGTTTTAGGGGTGAACACTTATGTGTGGCCCTGAAGAAGTGGGGGAGAACAGGAAATTCATACCTGGTGTTCTGCAGCCCAGTGCCTATTGCCTCACCCAGTTTAAAGAGAATTGGGCCTGCTGTTCCCCCAGCCTCCAGGCTGCATTCACTGGTATGGACAGAACCCTCTGGCAAGCTCTCAGAAAGCAGAGGCTGACGTTATTTTGTCCAGTGGCTGACATTTATTGAGTCCTTGCTATTGTCAGGCTCTGGCCAGATACTCTGGATACATGATCATTTGAGCCTCAAAAAGCAAGTTCTGTCATTACTTCCATTGTGCAAATGAGGAAACCAAGTCTTAGGGAATTTAAATAGCATGCTCTTGAGGCTTATACAGTTGTTGACTTGCAGAGACAAACTTTAAACTCAATGTGTTAGGTGCCAAGGTAAAGCTCTTCAATCTCCATTAGATATTAGAGCTGTAGATGGCACCGGCACACCGGGTTCTAGTCCCAGTCGGGGCGCTGGATTCTGTTCCGGTTGCTCCTCTTCCAGTCCAGCTCTCTGCTGTGGCCCGGAAGTGCAGTGGAGGATGGCCCAAGTGCTTGGGCCCTGAGAAGCACCTGGCTCCTGGCTTTGGATCAGTGTGGTGCGCCAGCCGCTGCAGCCATTGGAGGGTGAACCAACGGTAAAGGAAGACCTTTCTCTCTCTCTCTCTCACTGTCCACTGTCAAAAAAAAAAAAAAAAAAAAAAAAAAAAAAGATATTAGAGCTGTAGGGTACAGCTCTCACCATTTACCTCGCCCCTCTGTGTACCCATTCCCTCGGGTTAGTTCAGCTACCCAGTGAGCTTTTCTTAGATGACTGCTTTATGCCAGTAGTGCTGGTCTCCCACATGGGTACAGGAGTCTTAAACACTTGGGCCATCCACTGCTTTCCCAGGCCATTAGCAAGGAGCTGGATCAGAAGTGGAGCAGACAGGAATTGAACCTGTGCCCATATAAGATGCCGGCCTGGAAGGTGATAACTTAAACTGCTATGTGCCACCTTGCCGGCTCCAATAGAATGTTTTTTATGTGGATTTAGAATATAGACTTCTGACTCTCGTTGTTTATCTGTTGAATGAGAACGTATTTACAAGATTTGTCTTAAAGTTAACATTCTTTCCTGCAGTGGATCTGGGTGGCATTTGCAGATATCTAGAGATTTTTATGAAATTCAATTTCTGGGTTTTTTCCTCTCTTCAGCCTTCTCCAGAGCTCTGACCAAGAAGTTGCAGGCAAAGTCCGAGCTGGATTGAAAAGCCTGATTCCCACGTTGGAAAAAAACAAAAACGCCAGCAAAGGAGTGGAAATTCTGCTTGAAAGACTGACTGCATAGATGGAGAAAGTGAAGAATGAAGCGGGATCATTTTTCCTGTCTTCTGTTTTCCAAGTGCAGAGTGACAGGGCCCACCTTGTTGGTAATTGGGTGCTGTGTATAAGCTGCTTCTTTATGTAAGAATCTGTTTATAAAATTATTTTTAAATTTTTTTGTGAATCCCCGCTGTCTCCTTTATCATACCGAGTAGTGATTCGATTGCAGTGAAGATGGTAACATGGCAGGCTTAGCAGTCATGTGGAGTGAGACGGTCACATACATGAAGGGTGATTGAATTATCTGATGGAGTGCACGTCTTGGTGAGAATAGCCTAAGAAGGTTTCTTGAAGAGGTAGTGTTTGAGAGATCATTGTGCCAAATGTGGTCAAAATGCGGAAAAGCAGAGACAGTTGGTGAGGGCACTGAGGTGGAGCTATAATGGTTTTGAACTGATCTTCAGGAAATCTTAGGGGATACCCTTCAACCAGGCAGTTCCTTGTTAGAGATTTGTCTCAGAACCACTCCGCTAAGGTAAGCTCACAGGGAGAGATGAGCCAAATGAGTTAGTGGGTCGCAGTGAGCACAGTGTGAGGGTCAGGGTAACATCTGCCTGTCTCGGGATGTGGGCCTTCCAAGTAAGTAGCTCCCTGTGATCAGACTTTGCCTTTGGGAACTGTCACTAAAACCGAGCACTCAAAGGATTTGAGAGAGAGAAGTGGATGTACAAGTTTGTTACAGTATGTAAGTTTAACACTGGTCGTTTTAACAACAGCTTAGAATGATAGGTGGATCCTTCAGGCTCCGGTGGCCATGGCTCTGCGCAGCCTGCCACTTTCAGTACCGGTGTTGGGCCTTGTCTGTGTGCTCTGCTCTAACAGAAGAGCCACTCAGGGCTGCTGCTGCTGTGCTTAAACCTGCCTCAGGATTGCTGGGCCTTCCTCATCCAGTCTCTGTTCCCAGGATTACTCCCCAGCTAAAGCTACCACCACTCCCTCCCCCACCCCGCCCCTGCCACCCTGTCTCCCACCCGAAGAACAAAAGTGTGGATACCTGTACCCCTCCACGTTTTTGTTTTAAATTTTTTTTTTTTAACAGGCAGAGTGGACAGTGAGAGAGAGAGAGACAGAGAGAAAGGTCTTCCTTTTGCCGTTGGTTCCCCCTCCAATGGCCACCGTGGCCGGCGCGCTGCGGCCAGCGCACCGCGCTGATCCCATGGCAGGAGCCAGGTGCTTCTCCTGGTCTCCCCTGGGGTGCAAGGCCCAAGCACTTGGGCCATCCTCCACTGCACTCCCTGGCCACAGCAGAGAGCTGTCCTGGAAGAGGGGCAACCGGGACAGAATCCGGCTCCCCGACCGGGACTAGAACCCCGTGTGCCGGCGCCGCTAGGTGGAGGATTGGCCTAGTGAGCCGCTGCGCCGACCATTTAATATTTTATTTTAATTTTAATTGTTAAAATATTCAATGTGATTTGTAGATAGAGTTCTAAGAACATAATGATTTTCCCTTTCCTTCCCCCCTTCCTTCTACCTTTTTTCTGTCTTTTTTTTAATTTTTGAGATAACAGTTTAGATTTACAGTAAAAAGGCTTAATGTTTCACTGAATAAGAAGTTTAACAAGAAAAAGCAAAAAGACCCTACTTTACTGGGAGTATGGCAATGGCTACCAACAGTAATGGAGTGGAAGAATGCTTCTTCCCCAGCTGCCACCCGGCCAGTGGCAGGGGCTGGGCACGAACGTGGGGCTGTCGGGCTGCCCCGAGGAGGTGAGTGGGTAAAAGGCAGCATTAGAGCAGGCTCTAGTGTCACAACTACGTTACGATTTGTGTTCTCTAATAAGGGATCCATTCAGAGAGAGGAGAAACACGTGGGACTTATTTCATCCTTGAAACTATGAAGATGGCGTGTACGTAATTTGGAAGAGTCCTTGGATAAGCTTGTAAAGTAAGCAGCGTGCTTACCCCACTGCCTGCCCCTCTGCGCGTGACTTTCTGGATTGACCTTTGTGGTTGTTCATCTATGATTTCTACCTGCTGCCTTTGGACTTCCCAGACCGGGGACTTGGACCACGCTGTTCACTCTCTCCCTTCCCAGGAACTGCATCATTTTTGATGAATCGCTGTCCAGGGTTTACATTATTATACCTGCATGGATTGTTAAATATTGAATCAAGTAGTGAGCTCATTTCCTCTGCCACTTTATTTTTCTTGGAATTAATGATTACCTCATTTATTTTCATTTACTTAGTTTCCTTCATTCTCATTATTAATGTTTCCCAAGCCTTTCTTTAGGATTGCTCAGACTCCTCTCTCGCAGGCACCATTAGCGGCTGCCTTGCAGCCCTTTACCTCTTTCCTCAGCCTGGCAAGTCTCCCCCGCTCTCTGGCGTCCATTCCTTTCCACGTGGCTAATGCAGTCTGACTGGTAAGACTCCGTGTTTCGTAGCCAGTGTTACTGAGTGGGTCATGGATGTGCTGAGGTTATATCCCCCAGCCTTGCATATGTGTCTCCCGGGTGTCTTATGCAGAGGCGCACTTCTCATCCATGAGGCCCATTCCTGAAGTCCGTGATGGATTTAGGAAGGAGCCTGGCCGGAACCTTGGAGAGCGGTGGTGTTCCCGGCAGTGTTTTCTTAGAGACCCTTTGGATTAAAGAGCAGCTCTTTATTCCCTGCTGACTTTGGAATGTGCATAGGATGTCCAAAGCTGTCATGCCGTCTTGTAGCTTGAGAAAAGATAGCAAACATGCTGAGGGTGGCCGAGCGACAGGTGGAAACAGTCTGGAACTTTTAGTAGTGTAGGCCTGCTGGATAAATCAGCTTCTGGAGTTGCACTTGCCCAGAACTTCTGGTTATCTGAGAGGATGGACCCAATTTTCCACTTATGTCATTGTTCAAGTGGATCTCAGAAAATTAGAGCCAAAGCATGCCAAGCTAACTGTCTGTGACCGTGATTTGCACGCTGCTCAACACCTTGCATCAGCTAGCATTTCCACTTGCTGCTGGGATTGCCCCGGCTGGCTTTCTGGTTGCCCTGAAGAACTACATCCACCATCATCTTGCACCCTCCCTTTGTTCCTCCCCCTTGGAGAGCCTGTTTCTCAGATCCCAAGCATAAAAAGTTCCTGGGAAATGGAACTAAAAGGTAAGTTTATTTTGGTGCAGTTCAAACTTTGATACCTGTGCGTACAAATGGTCTTTAAGCAGTACATGAAAAGTGCTTAGTAACAACAACAACAACAAAAAAACTGTGGATTTCAAAATTTTTACATGAAAATAAACATCTTCTAAGTGCATTTTCCATGAACTTTGAAATACCTTCATATTTTGCTTGTGGAATTAGCAGCCTTTTTTGAATTGAGGTACAACCTGTAAGTAACTTCCCAAGGAAGAATGGGTGTGAGGTGGCCTTGTAAAGACCTTCCAGATCTGATTGTCTTTATTCGACTCTTTGGCACCTGGATGTAGAATTGTATTTTAATTTTACCACAAATGTGAAGGCAGTGGTCGATATTGTCTTCTGCTTGAGCAGCTGCAGTGGGAGTCCAGGGCCCTATTTACTGTCCTTGGTGTGTGGCACTTTTGGTGGCATAGGGGAGGAATCATCTACAGATTTACAGCATTAAAAGTAATTCCCCAGTTTTTTCATAATTCAGGGTCATGTGCATTGGTATGTGTCAGGTGTGTTTGTTTATTCATGCTGGGCACAGGAACCATTTTAGTGGGAAGAGCCAAACTCTGGGGCCAGTGTTGTACTGTAGCAGTTCAAGCTGCTGCTCTGTGCTCTGGCTGCTCCACTTCCAGTTCAGCTCCCTGCTAACATCTTGGAGAGCAGCAGCAGAAGACGACCCAAGTGCTTGGGCCCTGCCACCCATGTTGGAGACCTGGATGAAGCTCCTGCTTCATGGTTTTCACCTGGTACAGCTCTAGCTGTTGGAGCTGTCTGGGGAGTGAGCCAGCACATGGAAGATTCTCTCCCTCTCTCTCTTTCAAGTAAAAAAATCAGAAAATAAAAAGGCAAGCCCTACCATTCTGGGAGATGCTTGGTCTGGGTCTGAGGCTTCCCAGGAGAGATTTTTGACTCCTTAAATCTCACAGACTGCCGAGAAAGGGGGCAACTTCTTTTTCCTCACAGTATTCTCTGTCCCTGTGTGGGTGGTTAGCTGTGGATCCTGCTGTTTCACTGGGGGCCTCCAGATGTCAGTGTCTGTAGGCTTTTTATCTGGGGCTGTCTGGTGCCTTCAGAGCAAAATCCACCTGTAGCTGACCTGGCGGTTGCTCAACTCTCAGTATGCAGGTTTTGATTAATCTGCGTGCTTTCAGTACAGGGCCGCTCCCCATGCCCTCCTGCACCTGGGCCCGTAGTCTTGTCAAAGCGAGCAAGCCTAAGTTTGCAGAATGTACCATCAGCCTTCTGCAGTTTAGGCCAGCCTCCTGTTTTCCTTTCCCTGGCTCCCACGAACCTTCCCCAGCAGCTGGCACCTGGGGTTGTTGGAGTTTGCTGGCCTGTCATGGTGAGAATTGATTTGTTGCATGCACTGTGGGTATTCAGCCTTCTCAATTTTACTTATCCCCACTGCTTCCTGTCCAGGTGTTTGTTGTTGTTGCTCACCCACTGATGGCTTCTCTCCTGGTTACTTTATTCTTGTGAGTTCTGTGGTATTTTTATTTCCTAAGCCTTAGACCACTGTTTCTGGATAAACTCAACAATGTGCTAATTTGAAACAGAAATTTACAAATGAATTCAAACAAACTAAAAACAACCTACCTGGATTAATGGAGGGCTTATTTCCCATGGAAGAGTTAGCTGGATCTGACAATGTCCTCAATTGAAAATCTGTATTCTGGTTTTCCATTTGCATTCACTCCGTGCTTTTCTCAGGGATCAGACATTGTATACAAGCAAAGAGAAAGAACCCCATTCCCCCTGTAACTCCTGTGTAACAAGCATTCACATCATTAAATAAGGGCCTCTTGGAGGGAATGGCTTCCTGGGTGACCAAAATGAAAGGCTTGGGTCTTTGATTTTCAGTGAAATTTTGAAAAGGTTATATCTTAATTATTTGCAGAATAATCACTTTTAAGAATACGTCTTGGGAAGGTTCGGCCTCGTATGAAACAACGCATGAGAGAACACGGCTCAGCACGGCGGCAGTTCATATGGAGCCCGTCAGCATAAACTGTT